CCTGCAGGGGAGCCCACGCCCTCCACCTGAGGGACAACTCACACATGGCTCTGCAATGGCAGCGGCCCAAGTGAGGCATGTCAGCATGTTTTCATCATCCCTTCCGATGACTGGGAGGAAGGAGCAAGTGGCGCAATGACACCCGTGCCCCTCAGGCTTGCCTGGGCCCTGGGACCTCAGAGACAGTCCCAGATCTGCCAGTGCTGCCTTGGAACAGTAGGGCGACATTCCAGCGCACGCAGGCTTCAGTGTTTAATTTGCTACATGCTATAATAACGCAAAATTAACAAAAGATGAAAGAATACAAGTTAACATACAAAAGCAACACCCAAGAGGAGCAGTTTCTGAAGGTGTGGTGGGTCAGGTGGTGCACTGCCAGCCCCTCAATGTCCCTTTAGAGTTTTGTCAGCTGTATACTCACGATTCAGGGTGAGGTTATCTCAAAGCACCAATTCATGACTATTACAAAGAAAATATTCTTAAAGATTATGAAAATAAAAACAAAACCCGCTAGTGACTGGATTCTGTTCAAGGTGTGGCAGAAAGTTAACATGCTTATTATCTTCTCTTCCAAATTTCCACTGAAGTAGATCAAGAGGTGGTAACAGGAAAGCCATCTAGAGACCACAGATGTGAGCTTCTGAAAACAGGAAGCAGCTGGGAGGCACAGGCCCGCAGAGCAGGTGTGGGCAGGGCTGGCAGCAGACCGGGTGGCAGCAGCTCTGGGCACTGAAAGGGCAGTGGCTCCCTGACTGCTGGAGCACCATGTCACTGGGAGGCACCCCCCAGAGTGTCAGAGTCAGCAGCTGTCTGGGGTGAGGCCCCAGAATCTGCATTTGCAAGCCATGCACGTGGAGAACCACAGGCGCAGGGGGGCCTCCCCTCCCATCTATCTCCCTGGCTGCACAGAGGCCCCAGAGGAGGGCTGGGCTCCTGGTGTGAATACTGGCACCTGGGATGGGCAAGCCTTGTCTGGGCTTCTTGGGAGGCAGGGATGGCCTGAGCCAGCCTGCCCAAGGTCCTACCGTCCTTCACAGAAATCACAAAGTCCTTCGCAAAAGCAGGTGGATGCTTTCACCTCATAAAACTGGATTGTACCACCTCTCACTCGCTCTTCACTCACAGTCCACCTTTGCCTGCACAACTAGAGCTCAGGTCACTATGCCACATAACCTGACTGCAGAACATGACAGACGCTCTTTAATTCATAAAATAGCCCAGTGCATTAAGATGAAAAATCATGCTATGAAAATTCTCTTGGCAGGGCAGAAGGAACTTCTGGTTTGTTTCAGTCGTGCCCACTGAATTTATTTGAGAAAGTGGCAGAAGACAGAAGAAAGCAAGAGAGAGAATCGTCGTGAGTTAACAAGTCTAGCTTTCCCAACCCTCTAAGTTTCTAGACCATCCCCCATTGAAACCTTTGCTGTATCTTGAGTGTGGGGAGGCAGGTTTTTCAAATTCATGTTTCTGAGCTCTGCATACACTACGAGTTCCTCATGGTGCGGATCTGCACAGGAGAACATGTCAGGGATGTGATGTGAAAGGAGTGAGTATACTCGGCATGGACCGGACCATTTAATTAGCCACTTTCTGTGCCTGCTGATCAGTCAGGGGAGAGTAACAGAACCTGCCCACCCACTGTCACTACCAATTACCCTCCAGCCATTGTGCTTTAGGATCATGACAAAATCAACAGAAAAGAATTTGACCAAACAGGCAAAGCATTTGCTGCTGCTTTTTTCTTTTTTGAAATATGCTCTCAATAAACATTAATTTTACATGTTATCCTTTCCGTGTATTTTTCCCACTGACTTCTGGAGAGAATGGACTAGGCAGTAGAACCAATACTCCGAATGTGAGTGGAGATGCTCCCCTGACAGAAAGGCTCTCGGAGCGTGAGCTCCTGCACCCAGGCGGACATCTCCAGCTGAGGTGTCCTTTCTGCTTTGGATGGTTTTTTTCGGGCGAGCCTACAGCGCCCTCTAACGGCCACAGAGCAATTTTCTTCACTCCCGAGCACACACTTGTTTCACGTTCTTTTAAAATTAAATTTACTGAGTTTCACTTCCTGCCACATCCTATCCTAGAAAATGAATTAAACAGTGTAACCACGTCCTCCCTGAGTGGACAATTACAGTCTCAAGTGTGTAATCAGCCCATCATAAACAGTCTGATACAGTGCACAGAATGGAAGTCAGGACCCCACAGACATGGGCCTGCGTGAAGGCTCGGAGGCACGGGCAGGCGGAGGCACAGACGGACACAGGCGGAGGCCCAGGCAGGCCCAGGCAGAGGCACAGGGCAGGCTGAGGTAGAGGCACAGGCGGAAGCAGAAACGGGCGAAGGCGCAGGGGCAGGCCAGGCGGAGGAACAGGCAGGCATGGGCGGAGGCAGACACAGGTGGAGGCGGAGACACAGGCACAGGGGCAGGCACAGGCGGAGACACAGGCGCAGGCAGAGGTGGAGGCACAGGGGCAGGCACAGGGGCGGGCGGAGGCACAGGCGGAGGCATGGGGTAGGGACAGGCAGAGGCAGGCACAGGTGGAGGCGGAGGCACAGGAGCAGGCACAGGCGGAGGTGCAGGCGGAGACACAGGCGCAGGCAGAGGTGGAGGCACAGGGGCAGGCACAGGGGCGGGCGGAGGCACAGGCGGAGGCATGGGGTAGGGACAGGCAGAGGCAGGCACAGGTGGAGGCGGAGGCACAGGAGCAGGCACAGGCGGAGGTGCAGGCGGAGACACAGGCGCAGGCAGAGGTGGAGGCACAGGGGAGGCGGAGGCACAGGGGCAGGCCCAGGCACACTGGCATGGCCCTCCTTGCCCCTACTGCTCACGCCTTCCTCCGCCACTGCACCGCAGCTGGCAGCCCCGGATCCCTGACCCTGCCACCATACCTGGCCTGTACAGCTCTGCACTGAAAGGCTTAGTAAGCTGCAGGGGACACAGCTGAAGCCGCCAAGCACCATGTGGCTACGCAGACCCTGCCTCTAGCCTAAAGCCCCACCCAGCTCCAGGTCAAGTGCTTGTTCACTGTTTTGTTCAAATGACAAAACCCTACAATAGTGTTCTACTTGGGAGCCAGAAATCAGTAACAGCTTCAGCGGTTTCTCCTTCTGAGGTGATGGCATCACGGACAACTTCAGGCCTATTTATTTATTCACTATCAGTTCACAGCATGGAGCGGATGCTGATGACTCGAAGTGCCGTGGTGATCGTAAGTATGGCAACTGAGAGGTGGCACTGGTGCTGATACCCAGCAGAAAATGCCCGTGTGCTTGTTGTCCACTAAAAACACACACAGCCGATGAGACTGAAAGAACATCCGAACCACCTGACACACCCACCCACAAGGCAAAGTTTCCTCAGACTGTGTCGGCGACTGCTCCCTGCTCTTGGCCCTTCCCATCCGCCACTCGCACCACTGCAAGCCCAACATCACGTGGAAGGTGTCCACCAAGGTCACCACCACCTACTGACACCCCCCCGACCTGGCAGCTGCACAGGTAGCCAAGCGCCTGGCAGGGAACAAATGCCAAGGTCACTACCACCCACCACTGCCCCACCTGGTTTCTTCGTCCACCCTCTCCCATACCACTTCCACTACAGGAAGTACTGAGGAAGTGATTTTTCTGTCTAGGTGAACACATGAACACACACACACACACACACACACACACACACACAGCTTTAAATAATCTCCACATACTACCAACTGCCAAACCTCTGCCCCATCCCTTCTACAGAATGTTGCCTGTAAAGGCTCCCTGCTACCTCATTTGGATGTCTCTTGGTCCCCATGTGCCAAATCGGAAGCTTGGATTTGTGATTCCTGCCACCAAACCTGTGCATCTGTCTCCAACCCAAGGTCTCCCAACTCAGTAACCCAGGAATCTTCCTTAATTCCTCCCTGTCCCTCATGCCCACTTCACAGATGCAGCATTGATTCTACCTCCAAGATAAATTCTGACTGCACCTATGCTTTATCACCTGCACTGCCCCCACCAGAACCTCCCACCTCCACCTGCTGCAGTGGTCTCCTCACAGCTCTGCTTCACCACTTGCCCTTGTCGCACCCCTTTACCTCAGAACAGTCCCAGTGAACTGTGGGCTCATGTGACACCTCAGCTCACATCTCCCCAGGAGCCACAAGGTCCCCTCCCCGTGACTGTGCCCCCAGCTGTCCAGGTCCTGAGTGGCTGGCAGGTTCCTGTCTAGCCGAGCTCCCAGATCCTCCCCTCAGGCTCTGGCTGCAGCAGTCCCCTTGAGGGCATGTAACAGTCTGTCCCAGGCAGGGCCGCTCCTCCTCCCTGCTCTCTCGCAAGGCTGGCTCCCTCCTTCCAGGTCGCTGTCATGTTACCTCCTCAGAGACCCTCCTTGACCAACAAATAGAGGAGACTCCCCTGCTGTTCTCTACTGCAAACCTCCACGTTCTCCTCGTTGCACTTACCCATATTTACGGATGTTGTACTTACTGGGCGATGACTTGAGGATTTTTCACCCCCCTCAGATCGCCACAGCTGACAGCTCTTTGAGAACTTGGCTTCTTGCCTTGCTGACAGCTCCTCCCAGAGAGGCACCCGGAGAGAACATGCCCATGGGTACCAGCAGCAAGAACGACTGTACCAACAGAAAGCTTCCAAAAGGGTGACAGAGTTACTCACGAACATCGTTGCGTTATAGTCACTGAAAAAAACACGAGGAAGGAGTGACAAAATTGCATCAAATGTAAATGTTAAAGGGCTGAAATTGGAATTAAACAAAAAGTCCAAAAGTGAGAATGTACTGGCACTTAATTTACCTGGTACCCAGAATCAGTAAGGAGCATCTCAGTGAATACTCCAAACCAGTTAAATACAGGCAATGCAGTATGTTTCTGCCACCAAAAAGGTGAGTCTCCCCACAAATAACCACTCTCTTGCCTCTTTGGTTAGAGCAGCGTATGTTCCTCCCCTTTGGCAGAGCAGAAGGGATGCCAAGTGTCACTCTTTGCTAGTCAGAACAATAATGTGCATGGCTTACTTTTATTTTTTATTATAAAAACACATACAAGAGTTTTAAGAAATGATGAATATAAGACAAATCAGACCACAGTGAGTTATTAAACCCATTTCTATATACAAATACTAAAATTCCGAAGTGGAACATCATCAAATGTGAGACACATCATAGCACTGTCCATATGCACACCGCACACAGCTCTGCCGCGGCGTCCGCAAATCGCCCCCCGCCATCTGCTGACAGACAACTCTTCAGCTCTCTCTTCCTGACATATAGTTAAATATCTTTAAGGAATTTTAGAGATATGAAGACAATGAATTATAGTGAGTTTCCGCTAAGGGCTCTCTGTGTTTTGCTCTGATCAATTACGTACGACATCTTGAGAAAAACTTTTGTAGCCCATTTCTCGCTAGGACAGCGGAAGACTGTTCTAGTTCTTTTAGCCAATTTAGTCACTCATTTGAACACCAAGTCCAAAAATAGCTCAGGAATCAAATTACATCTTTATATTGTTAAGTTCATTATAAAATACCACTTAACATTAAAAAGCCACTAAAAGGACACTTTCTGCAGCAAAAAAAGGGCTAAGTTCAAGTTTTTGTTGTTTGACCAAGACACAATAATACAATCCATACGTCACATGATCACAACGGCCTTAAGTGAAATGTACGTGATTTAGGGAAAAACAACTATGCAACTGCTTGTTTCTCCTGTCTCCTTGCCAGACAATGAGGAGAGACTCTTGTCATTTTATCTGCTCCATGTCTTTCTCTTTTAAACCTTGGACTGTCTTCTGAAAGCTGATTAATCTCTCTGTATTCAGAGTGTGTCAAGGCACTTCTCCAGCCACAGCGGCCGTCCTGGGTCAGCCGGGCCCCTCCGCACTCAGGGCACCGACTTCGTCCAGGCAGCTGGCGACTGCAGATGGGACGCTGTTGGAGGCCTCTCTCCGCCATGCTTCCAGGATCTTGGATATCTCTGTTGGATTGCTGGGACTCAAGTCACAGAGAGCATACACAGCTGCCAACTGTATACCCCACGGTATATCTGAAAAGAATTTTCAAATCAGTCATAATATAAGAAAATATTTGATATTCAAAATGTAATGCTATCTACTGAAATACTATTCAAATAAAGAATACTTTCTGCCAGCAACAGAAATGAAATACAAAAGCCTAACAGCGGTTGTCTGGAGTTTCCTGGTGCTGGCCTGTGTCCTGAGGCTGGCTGGTGTGCTAGAACAGACAGGGCCTCACAGCTCCCAGTCAACCATGAACAACACTGAGCTTTCCAAAGCAGTTCTACAAGGACCACATTCCAGTATTTAAATTTTAATAAAACATGGATCCCAAAACATTTGTCAAATACATAACTATTAAATACCCATCAAAAGTATAAGTGGACTTTGGAAATGAAAAACATAATGAAACGAGATAAAATAAAAACCATCCTTGTACCACACTCTCACATACTAGTATATGATTCTAGATTATAGCTAAGTTATAAATTATAGCATATTATTACAGTTTTCTTTTACCACAAGTTTAGGAGTTATGTAACTAAAATTTAATTTACTTAAATAATTTAGGAGTTATTTAGTTAGAACTTTTTATTCACTGTATATCTCAGTTTTCTGTTACTGACGCACTGCCCAACAGAGCACCTGGTACTATTTAAAATAAACACATGGCACACAAACTCACACACTGAAGTGTCAATGGTGACTATGTAGGCAGAACTGCCGCTTCTAAAATTCTGTGCACCTCCCACCCCCAATCTACAAGCACAGAGAGCAGCAGAGAGCAAGGCACATAGTAAGGCTATGACTTAAGAAAAGAAACATGTTTAACAGTAAGAGACTCTCAAGGATTAAAAAAAATTAATGAGTAAGAACATGTGGCACTGTTTAAAGAGCTGGGGCTCTGAAGTCCAACAGGCCTGGATGAACGGAGAGTGACGGCGCTTCCTAGCCCTACCTGAAGCAAACTCCTCTTCTCTCCAGGCTTCACTTTCCTCAGGTATAAGATAAGATCGACACCATCCCCCTAGCCATGGGCAGTGCTGAGCCCAGGTCTGACCTACGCAGCCCCACATCAGCTCCTCCTCCTTCCTCACAGTTATGCCCACTCCAGCAACAAGACAAGTCTGCCTCTATTGGCAAGACGACCCCAGCAACAAGACAAGTCTGCATCCACTGGCAAGACGACCCATTAGCCACTATTCTGGCTGCTATCTTCTATGTCAATATAGAGTCCACACTGCAAAAGAGCACATTTTCACACAAGAGAAACGTGCATCACCTCCCAGCTATCCTAAAGGCAAAGGACAGACTTCAGAGAAAGTACTTCAAATTATTCTCATTAAGCTCAACCTATCAAGTCACCCACTGAAAGCCGAAGACAACAAAGAGTCTACATGTTAAGATTATCTTGGGTGTCACACAGTATTTAAGATATCACTTTGTGCATTTCTGATGGGCAGTTGTTGAACTACATTATTCCTTGACTACACAATATTCAAAATAGAAACCAGACTCATCACTTAACTTCAGGTTAAGCTTTTCCCACAAAAGATAAAATTACATGCTATGCAATATGTAAATGACAGTAGAAATTCCCACCACGAAGACTTGCTCACAAGGTTTCCAGCTTTCCAAATTCTCTCCTGAGGCTGAAGATTCACCTCACAGTGCCCCACTGCTCTCCACTTGTGATCTCACTTGCTCATTGTGACCCAGCTCCACCCAGGAGGTCTCACGGCTAGCTGAGATTAAGTCACTTGTAGGACATCACATGGCACAGACAGTTTCTAAGACAGAAAATTAGCACCAGGGAGAGAAGAGAGTTCCTCTTCCTTAGAGAAGCACTGCCCAACAGGGAAACTAGCATCATTTAAGCAAATACACCACCACAAAACCCACGGACACATTCAAACATTAATGCCGAGAATGTTTTGCTCATGTTCCCTCATCTACAAGGCAACAAGAGAAGCACAGGGCGCAGTGCACAGCAAGGACTCGAGAAATGCAAGTGATTTAAAAGTAATTTTAATAAACAAGAGTTTTACCTTCATCTTGAGCATGTTGTATAAACATACCAATAACTGAACTAATATTTTTCACAGCAGATGGAAATCCTTCCTTCAAACCCAATTGGCCTAAACGACCTAGGAGAAACAGAAACAAAATAAGATGTAAACCGTCTTTGTTTAAATGTTGATTAATGTTTCATAAAAATTTAAAATTTATATTTTCTTTAATATTTCATTATGTTAAATAAGTTAAATAGCAAAGCATCAAGACTTAATAAAGCACCACTTGTCTTACAGAAGGTGGTCAAACTGCCTCATCATCTACTGTTTCAGTCACACATACAGATGATATGCAGTGTGTCGCTTTCCAAGTAAGTTACAACACAGCAAAATTTAGAAGAAAGAATGATTTCAGCAGGGAAAATGTGAAATGGCTAACTTCTACTAGGTCACCAGATAAATATAAGACTGTGGTTCCATTAAAATACCACTATTGGTTTAATGCTTTGACAACTGCTGTTATAACATGAGCAGCATTTCTCAAGTGTGGTCTGCAGACACCCTGGAGTCCTCAAAGTCAGAACTCCCTTGTAACAACGCGAAAGAGTGATGTGCTGTCTTCCCAGGGCTAAGATGTGGCTGAGGTCATGAACGCTGCAGCAGACTGCTGGACCTGGACCATTAGCCCAGGCAGCAGCAGCTCACTGCATGGGAGGCATTCTGCATTGCCAGGTGCATGTAGCCACAAAGCCAATTTCACTTGAGTGTCCTTGATGAAGCAGTCACAGTTCTCGTTAAATCTGGACCCAAGCGCACAGCCCTGATACACTCTGTAGACAGCATAGGAAGTGTACCCGAAGGCCGCTCTGCGCAGCCAAGTACACTGGCTGTCATGGAGCAAAGCGCACGTGCTACTGTGTGAGCTGTGAGGGACTGGGGGCCATTCCCGCAGTACACCACTTCTGACTGAAAAGATGGCTGACAAACTATGACTATTTGAATCAAAGCAGACATTTTCTCAAAAATAAAAAGTGAGCCTGTAACGTCAAGAAAATTTATCATTGAGGTTAGTGATAAAATTTTAAGCAAACAGAGTTTCGAAACAACTTCCATCAGCCATACTGAGCTTGACAGCTTTCCAATACTTAAAACTTCTCGTGATAAGCTTGGTGATATTAAGTATGTTTTTTTTGGTATTGACATTTGTAAAATCTGTGTGAATCAATTACTTTCCAAGTGAACAAGGCAGGTTACAAGACCATATATGAGCAAAAGGATCCCTTCAACACGCAAGATGGATTTTTAGGGTAACAGAGTACGAAAGGCTCACTATTAAGGTTTCATAGTGCAACTAACCTTTAAGAAATTACCACTTGTTAAGTTTTACTGTAGTATCAAAGAAAAATATTCACAGTTATTTGAAAAGGCTACTAAAATATTCTTCCCTTTACCAACTACCCATCTGTATAAAACTGGATCGATTCTTTCCATGAACTTTTTGAAGTACCCTAGCATATTCAATGAAACAACATATTGCAAGAGACTGAGTACAGGGCAGATAATAAGAAACCAGCTGTCTTCTACCAAACCAGACAGTAAAGAGATTTGTAACAAGGCAATGCCATTCCCATTTTTTGTTTGCTTTGGAAATACTTATTTTTCATTAAAAATGCCGTCTAATGTTAATGAGTTTGTTACTGTTAATTTTAAAATGGATAACTAAATATTAAACATTTTCTCAGTTTTAATTTCTAATATAGTAAAATATTAATAGATATAACCTGGAATAAGTTCTTTTGGGAGTTCTCAATAACGATTCAATATATAGGGGTCCTGAGACCAAAAGGTTTGAGAACCACTGATCTACATCATAGGGCTACCAAATTCCACTAAAGGCTAAAGCAAACACAATGACATCATGCATCTGGATCCTTTCTTTATTCCAACGGCTCCCCCCAGATGTGAGTTTATTCCAAAGTGCAATCCTGTTCCCTTGATCAAAGCAAGGCCCTCACCTTCTTTTTTTGAGGGTAGAGAAGGGGGATTAATATGGCTTTACTTTTAAAAATTTGTTAAATTGACACATTGCAATTGTACATATTTATGGGGTAAATCTGATGTTTTCAATTACAGTTAAGAGGAATAAGTTCTGTTCTATTGTACAGTATGGTTAACAGCCAAGTTTTGTATATTACATAATAGACTTGTGAATGTTTTTGTCACAAAGAAATGATGAACGCATGAGGTGATGGATACATTAACTGCCCTCATCTTCTTCTGACTCTTCTCTTATGTAACAGTGTTATATTGTAAGCTCATTGTTCTGTGTTCATGTTATCCCTCTATGCCACTACAAGCATCCCACAGTTCTATATGTAAATCCAGTACATGAACCTCATCTCTATTTTGGATGAAGAAACTGAGGCAGAGAGCACTTAAGTAACTTCTATTACTTTGTATCCCCCAAAGAACTAGTTTAGTGCTACGTACGTGCACTCTGAATGTTGTGATATACAGTAGTCCCCCTCTTCTCCGCAGTTTTGCTATCCAAGGTTTCGGTTACAAGCAGTCAGATGCACTCCAAAAATATATGAAAAATTCCAGAAATAAACACTTCATAAGTTTTAACTGCATTCTGAGCAGCGTGATGAAATCTCATGTCGCCCGGGATATAAACCATCCCTTTGCCCAGTGGATTCATGCTGTCTATACTACCTGCCCCTTAGTCACTTAGTAACCCCCTCGGTTCTCAGATGGACTGTCTTAGTATTGCAGCGCTTGTGTTCAAGTCACCCTTATTTTACTTAATAATGTCCCCAAAGCACAAGAGAAGTGATGCTGGCAATTCATATAAGCCAAAGAGAAGCCGTAAAGTTCTTCCTTTAAGAGAAAAGGTGAAAGTTCTAGACTTTTTAAGGATAGAAAAAAATAACTGTATGCTGAGGTTACTAAGATCTATAGTAAGAAGGAATCTTCTAACCATGAAATTGTGAAGAAAAAAAAAATTTATGCAAGTTTTGCTGTCGCACCTCATACTGCAAAAGTTACATCCACAGTGCACGATTAGTGCTTAGATAAGATTAAAAAGGCATTAAATTTGTGGGTGGAAGACATGAACAGAAACATTTCTGATTCGCATGATAAAAGTCAATACTATCTGAGATTTCAGGCATCACTGGGGGTCTTGGAACATATTCCCCATGGAGAAGGGGGACTACTATAGCAGATGTTCAGTAAATAATTACTGATCAAAGAACATCAGGGGCCGGCCCGGTGGCGCACTGGAGAGTGTGCCGCTTGGGAGCGCGGCGGCTCTCCCGCTGAGGGTTCGGATCCCATGTGGAGACCGGTTCCCGCGCACTGGCTGAGCGCGGTGCGGGCGCAACACTGAGGGTTGCGATCCCATTGCCGGTCCCCGGTACGGGCGTGACACCGAGGGTTGTGATCCCGTTACCGGTCAGTAAAAAAGACAAAAAGGAAAAAAAAAAAAAAGAACATCAGGATAATTCCTAATATAGGATGACATTGTAACTATCTGGATAATTGCTAGGCAGCCTTTTGATGAGGATGAAAAACAATTTACTTCAGAGATGAGAAATTTCAGGTTACTGATCACTTTTAAATATCTCCTTGCAATTAGATCAGACTGCTAATTGCATGCCACCAGATCTGTTCTCTGACACAATATACCAGGAGCATTAAATGCGTAACTAATAGCAGAATGACCTGTGCCTAATGCAGCCACATGATACTTTGGCCATGTGATGTCTGTGTGCTCTCAGATAATACGAGGGGTCTTCAAAAAGTTCATGGAAAATTTTGTATTATCTTTTAATTCTACTTTTCCACAATCTTTTAGGAGTACCCTTGTCTATGACAAAGTTATAATGGCTCCCTTTCTTTCTACTAAAAGTGCTTAACAAAAGTGGGTTTTATAAGTTATTTAAATGAATAAATCTATTGTGTAAAATAAGAGTAAATCATGAGTCTGAGATAAATGGTTTGGGGAAAAAGATTCAAATATATGATGACTTGACAAAGACGGACAAATTGGCTAAACAGATGAGAAGAAAAGTCCCCCACAGGATGTGGGAGCTCAGGGCCATTCAGCCACATCAGGACACGTGGAGCTAATCTCAGTGTCAAAGACTACGCACTCCACAGCACTGTCAGGGTGGCAGGTGCAGAGCTGATGGCCCGCTGGGAAGGTGCGTCTACAGGGCAGAACAGAAGACCAATGATAAAGACACAAGGACTGTCACTCAAGATGCTAAGAAAAAGGTGAGTTGAGACAGTTCCAAAGAAAAATGTTGAAAAACTTGGCAAGAGAGTAGACAGAAATAAACAAATGGCTTCTTCAGTCTGACTTGCAGAAACCTGACCTGTGAGGCAGTGTTTTCCCAGCTTCTAGGTTCTAGTTAAGACTAGGTGGGCCATATTAGTCAGGACTTAGTAAGCTCTTTAAGGGCAGAAACATGAAGTCACATATTTATTCTCTGCTGAATCCAGTGGTAGGCAAATTTCTGTCCTAGCTCTGCTATCTTCCCCCTGAGTGACCTCAGACTTAACCTTTCTAGGCCTCAACTCTGCCAAGGAATGAGGGTGCTGAGATAAGTTTCTATTGCACCTCCATGTTTCTAGAATCTAGAGCAATTCAAGCATTCCATAAAATAGACCAGTCTTTAATACATTATTGTTAAGATAGGTTAGAGTAAACCACATTTAATAATCATATGTGACCATATGCTAAACAGCAATGATCATACCTCAATCCAACATTAGATACCACTAAATCACTTTGACAGAAAGTTTGTTTTATTTCCCATGGAGTAAAAATATCATTAATTAGGACTTTGTAGATTTGGAATTAAGAATAAAGATGATTCCATAAATGACTAGTATGTGATTTCAGTTAATATTATTAAACCATGGTCTACCAACTTAATTATTTAAATTCTTTAGCAAGAGCAGCTTCAGAAATGGCAGGATAGTACACTAGCACAATTTCTTCTAAAAAAATTAAAACTCCCAATCCGGATATGTTTGTGTGGTAGGGCACATGTACACCCGACCTAAGGCCACTTCTCGGAACCACACCAGGTCTCACTTGCTCTCTCCCGTTGCCTCTCAGCCTTCCCACCCACATTATCGCCCTTATCACCCAGCAACTGCTGTGCTAAGTCGGGCCTCAGCAGGTGACATCACAGCATCAGAAGGATAAGCGAGCACAGCTGAGCCCCCGCTCTCCAGCACTGGTGGACCAGGAGCCCTCTGGACACCTGTCTTTCTCATGCACGCTGGCTCAAAAGCAGACCTAAGGAGGATCGACTCTTCCTAACTGTGCTCCTGTGTTCAACACTATGCTTTCTAATGACCTGTCCCTTTACACTACACTTATATATATTTATATATTATCATTCTATCACATGGTATGGTCAATTATATATTATTGTTAATTATACCTTATTCTCTACAATGTAATATATAATTGTATTATATATCTTTCAATTGTGTAAATATACATACATCACTCTAAATAATATATTAAATGTCAAAAATTATTTTATCTTTCAACAGCCAGAATTTTGAAGATTTCAAGAATGAACTAACCTTAATTTGAGAAAAATTACAAGTCAAGCTTTCTCCCTAATTATACATTCTTATTTTTAGATAAACTATTAACATATTCTTCTTAATTCACGTTTGGGTTATTTTTTAAGCTACATATTGGAAAGTACTTATATAATCTTGTATAGTTTTGTTTGAAGAGTTTCGTGACATGTAAACCAAAGTGAAAACAGTCATGCACCGCATAACAATGTTTCAGTCAATAACAAATGGCATATGCAACGGTGGTCCCATGAGATTACCAAACAATTCCTATCGCTTAGTAATGCTGTACCTGTCATCATGTCATAGCGCAATGCACTAATCACGTAGGAGCAACAGGCTATACCACACAGGGTAGGTGTGTAGTAGGCTATCCCATCTAGGTTTGTGTCAGTACACTCTATGTCGTTCGCCTAATGACGAAATCACCTAACAACCACTTCGTTTTAAGTGACTCACGGCTACATATGCTGTCTTATTTATGGCAATGGTTACTGTCTGCAGACCTGCTTTATCATCAGCATGCCTGCAGGGCTTTACAGACACAACTCTAAACTAAGATTATATGAACCTTGGAGGATGAAGCCTGACAATCTGTATTTTTAAAAAAAGCTTCTCAGGCCATTTGGAAGCACAGGAAAATTTGGTAACCCCCGGTGATAAAAGCCCACTGGAAGAGGCACTGGGCAAGTCACTAAGAGGAAGCACATGTATAGTGACCCCTCTGTAAGTGCATGGAGGCTGCTCCCGCTGTGCTGTAAGGACATCAGCCTCCAGCAACATAACCTTCACTCATTTCCTCTTATCACAATAAATAAACACAGAAACATAACTACTGCAACAAAAACAGGAAAAATCAAGTTTTAAAGCACGAGTCTAAAAATTATCACATTCTTTTGAAAATTCCTGATACTTCCTCTAGGTCAACATATAAATATTTATAAACTTAACAACACCTCTCCTAATTTTTTAATTCTCAAAAAAGATTTCACAGTTTAGAATGAGTTACTCCAAAGTACGAACATTTTCTCCTGAATTCATAAGAGCAGCTGCTATTGAAATCAGAATCTCCAGACATACAGACATCACCTGACTGCTGGAAATGCTATCGTTGGCCCTTCTGTGTTTCTTACTGTTTCCAGAAATTGCTCCTGAGGATATCTTGAATGGAGAAATTCAGCAAAACAGCTTTGAGACTGTGCCCCACTGAGCACAGTTTCATTTCCACTTCTGTGCCTCTGGTATCTTTCGATGTGTCTCTTCTACATTCCTATATGATCATTTGGTTCTCACACTCTCTTGTTTGGTAACTTAACTCCAAGTGTACTTTAGGTTATTTCCAGTAAAATTAGGTGTTTGCCATGTAACCAGGTTTTTGTCCTGAACCACCATTTTGTGTATATATACATATATATATGTGTGTGTGTGTGTGTGTATATATATATATATATATATATATATATATACATATACATACACACACACATATATATGTATGTATATAATACATAGTTTATATATTTACTTAGCATAATGTCACTACACTTGCATGTAAAGTACACACAGAGGAGGAATGGCTATTTGCTTCATACAGTAACAAAATTAGAAGGGATATTATATTTCTTACTGTGATCTACTTATGAGACTTAAATAAATAACTTTATTTCAAGTGCTGTTATCTTTAAATTTTAAAAAACTAAAATCCAGAGATACTTAAAAAGATAAACCTTGTTTTGTGTTCCCTCGGTGCAATGAGGACAGGTTACAGATAGAGAAGTCAGTTCAAAATTAGGAGAGCTTTCTAATAATTTTGTAGAGCCTTTTCAGAGATAAGGCAGTTTTTCAGAGATGAGGCAAAGAGGGAAAATAAAATAAAAGTTAAAAAAAAAGATTTCTTATTGGACAAGTATAAAAAAATTGGGGTGGGGGTGTGAAGATATCCTTATTTTAGAAACCAAATGAGACTATAGTATAATTTATCCTGGTGTGCATGTTTAAGTGTGTGCATCTGAGAAGCAAGAGTTCAATTATAAATAAAATGTAGTAATGTTAAAAATCTTAATCTGGCAAAGACAGATTAAAACATTAGTTTATAAGGAAAGAATAAGCAGGACAAATTAAGCACTAAAATATCTACGCTGATGGTTGTAAAATCAGTCATTACGGTGAAGTTCCAACGTCAACATACATTATACATTTTATTCCCCCACCAAGATAACATCAACAGAAAAAAAAATTAATGAAAAAGACAACTCACCAATCAGCCTCAGTATTGATGCTATGATAATATCAGGAGTATATGCGATGTTCGCATGTCCTTTTCTGTACTTTATCCACTTATCCATTACAGGCCACAGCTCCTTACTATAAAACAACAACATGAAAGAATGCATGCTCATCACGGCTCAAATAATAAAAAATATATAAGTGGTCTGCAGACCATTAGTGAAGAAGAGTAACTGCCGAGGAGCTGACACTTTTTTTTTTTTTTAAAGTTAAAATGAAGACAGACATTGGAAGCTCACACCTTCTTCAACTGTTCAGGATATCTGTGCCCAACCTGGCTACAAATACCCATGCTTTCATCTTTATTCTGTTTGATCTCTTTTTACTAGGCTTTGGACAGAGAAGCTGAACAGCGTCCCCAAAGTCACAGTACTAGGAAATGGTTGAGTCTGGATTTTTACTTTGACCCTCAGGTACTAAAGCAGCCCCTGAGTTCCAGAAGTTACCTGGGAGGATCACAGATAAATAAAGCTATGTGTATAAAAAGAGCTAAACCAGAAGAAAACTATAATTTTTTTTTCATTAAATTTTTATTTTGTCAATATACAATGTATATGATTATTATGGCCCATCACCGACACCTCCCGCCCTCCTCCCTCTCTCCCCTCCATTTTGATAAACAAAGCATACTTTATAAAGATAAAAGAAACTTTCCACTGACTAAAAACAGTGCCAATTCCTCTTTGCTTTCTCTTCTTTCAAAAATGTATTTACTTCTTACATGGCATTCTTAGTATTTAACTAGAAAAGTTAAATGCAGAATAAAAAAAAAAAAGAAAAACAAAAATTAAAAGCACCACAAATAATCCAGTCTCAGATGACTATTACTATTTTAATTTGGCTTTTCTTCTATTTATGTAAACCACATGCTGAGATCCACCACGTGCAAAGGACGGAAGCAGGTCTAAAGCGCTCAGGCAGAGATGCTGACACTCAACACTGTCCTCCCCATGCGTGGGGAGATCATGGACAAAGCACCTCCAAAAGGAACCAGCCCTGGTCTCCTCATCTATAACTGCCTCTCAGGCTTCCAGGAGTTCTTCCATCAGTGAGACGAGGCCTGTGGAAGGCCCTCGCACATCACTACAGACTGGCACTGCGCAGACTGATCTGTCACTTTCTTATTTAGGAACAGACTGTGAGATACTTCTTCAAGTCAATCTGTAAAATCCACTTACAGCTATGTATTATACTACACAGGCACACCTTGTCTTATTGCATTTCACTGTGCTTTGCAGATATTGCAGTTTTTACAAACTGAAAGTTTGTGGCAACCCTGTAACGAGCAAATCTATCAATGCCTTTTTTCCAACAACAGCATTTGCTCACTTCATGTCTCTGTCACATTTTTGTAGTTCTCACAATAGTTCCAACCTTTTCATTATTATTATATCTGTTATGGTGATCTGTAATCAGTGACCTTTGATGTTACTATTGTAATTGTTTTGGGGCACCAAGAACCATACCCATGTAAGACAGACAACTTAATCAATAAATGTTGTGTGTGTTGTGACTGCTCCACCAACTGGCCATTCCACCGTCTCTCTTCCTTCTCCTCAAGCCTCCCTATTCCCTGAGACAGAACAATATTGAAATTAGGCCAATTAATAAGCTTACAGAGGCATCTAAGTGTTCAAGTGAAAGGAAGAGTCTCACATCTCTCACTTGAAATGAAAAGCTAGACATGATTCAGCTTAATGAAGAAGGAATGTCAAAAGCTGATATCAGATGAAAGCTCGGCTTCTTGAGCCAAACAGTTAGCCAAGTTGTGAATACAAAGGAAAAGTTTTTGAAAGAAATTAAAAATAAGAAAATGAACCAGCCTTACTGCTGATAGGGAGAAAGTCTCGGTGGTCTGGATAAAAGCCCACTCCAGTCACAGTGTTCCCTTAAGCCAAAGCCTAACCCAGAGGTAGGCCCTCCTTTCACTCTGTGAAGGCTGAGAGAGGTGGCGAAGCTGCAGAAAACAAATCTGAAGCCAGCAGAGGCTGGATCATGAGGTTTAAGGAAGGAAGCCATCTCCATGACATCAGAGTGCAGAGTAAGGCAGCAGGTGCTGATGTAGAGGCTGCAGCAGGTCACCCAGAAGAGCCAGCTGAGATCATGGATGAAGGTGGTGACACCAAACAACAGATTTTCAGTGTAGACAAAAACGGCCTTTTATTGGAAGAAGATGCCATCTAGGACTTTCACAGTGAAAGAGAAGTCAGTGCCTGGCTTCAAAGCTTCAAAGTACAGGCTGACTCTCTTGTTAGGGGCTAATGCAGCGGCTGACTTTAACTTGAAGCCAGTGCTCATTTACCATTCCAAAAATCCTAGGGCCCTTAAGAATTAAATCTACCTTGCCTGTGCTCTGTAAATGGAATATCAAAGCCTGGATGACAGCACATCTGTTTATGGCATGGTTTACTTACTCATTGTTGAGACCTACTGCTCAGAAAAAAAGACGCCTTTCAAAATATTACTGCTGACAGTTGACCTGGTCACCCAAGTGCTCTGATGGAGATGTACATGGAGATTAACATTCTCATGTCTGATAACACAGTATCCATTCTGTAGCCCATGGATCAAGGGCAAATTTTGACTTCCACGTCTTATTATTAAAGAAATAAATTTCATAAAGCTGTAGCTGCCATTGATAGTGATTCCTCTGATGGTTCTGGGCAAAGTATCCTGAAAATCTTCTGCAAAGGATTCACCATTCTAGATGCTATTAAGGACATTTGTGATTTACTGGAGGAGGTCAGAATATCAAAATTAACAGGAGTTTGGAAGAAGTTGATATCAACCTTAAGGCTTTGGTTGAGTTAAAATGACAACTAACTATTTAGAATATGACAAACTTAGTTGATAAAGCAGCAGCAGGGTGTGAGAGCATCATCTCCAATTTTGAAAGAAGTTCAACCATGGATAAAATGCTATCAAAGAGCATCACATGCTACAGAGAAATCTTTCGTGAAAGGAAGAGTCGATTGATGCAGCAGGCTTCATCATTATCTTATTTTAAGAAATCGCCACAGCCACCCCAGCCTTCAGCAGCCAGCACCTTGATCACTCAGCAACCATCAGCATCGTGGCAAGACCCTCCACCAGCAAGAAGATCAGGACTTGCTGAAGGATCAGATGATTGTTAGCAGTTTTTATCAATAAAGTATTTTTTAATTAAGCTATGTACATTTCTTGATATAATGCTATTGCACACTCAATAGTACAGTGTAAACATAACTTTTATATGTACTGGGAAACAAAAAAATTTGTGTAACTCACTGTATTGTTTATTGTGAACCACAGCATCTCCGAGGTATGCCTGTGGCTAAATGTCATTATACAGATGTACTGTGATTCAATTCTCTACCGTCTGACGTTCAGATGCCTGATCTTTCCCTAGTGTTAAAGGGTGGAGAGACAGAACATCCTCGTACACAGATGGATCCTTGCACAAGGTAGTTTCCATAGAATATATTCTTCAAGTATCTCAAGGATATGGATTATTCACCTTGGTGAATCCTTTTTAATGTCACACTCTCCCTTACACCAACCTTTCTCAGTCAGGATTCCACAAGAAAATTAAGACCTACAGAAAAACTGAGTGGTAATTTTCTCTATTCTCCCAGAGATTGTACATAGCTACTAGTACCACAATTACAGATGAACCGAAAAAAGTTAATTCATTACATACAATGGATACCTGAGAGTATAAGGCTTAATTTTCTCCCAGTTGAGAAGAGCTACTAACCTGTAATTTCAAATATTTCTTTTTTTTTGACCAGTAAGGGGATTGCAACCCTCAGCAGAGCGTTGTCTGTGCCACTCTCAGCCAGTGAGTGTACCGGCCATCCCCATATAGGATCCAGACCCGCAGTCTCGAACCCGTGGCCTCAGTGCTACCAGCACTGCACTCTCCCGAGTGAGCCACAGGGCTGGCCCTGTAATTTCAAATATTTCTGATCCTTTGTTTTCTCCCACAGTCTTAGCATATGAAGATAATGATCATTACATTTCATTCAACACATTTGCTGAGGGTCTCCCTTGCATGGGTACTGTTCTACATACTGGGAATATGCCAGTGAAGCAAAAGAAGCCGGCCTTCCTGAGAGTCACTTCTCACAGAACAGAATGAAAAATAGTGAGAGATACTACGGAAAAACAGAGCAAGGGATTGTGATAGTGATACAGTATCAACTCTTACCCAAATAGAAACATTGTTATTTGTAAAGGTTTCAGGGGCTATACAACAAAAATGATTCAAACAACTCAGCATTCAACAGATTACCTTACAATTCAAATAACCCATCTTTATTTTTAGTTAGCAAAACAGCTAACCTTATGATGTTATCATGTGTCCAAATCCATTTCTGATGACAGCAGAGAAGATCAATGGCAAATATGTATTCCCATGTGTTATCACTTAGGTCTTCACCAAATTTTTCATTGGACTGAAATTCTGTTTTTGGACATAACTGTATGGTCAAAAGCAGCTTAGAAACCATGAAGCCAACATCTACAGGAGCATTCTAGCAAATAAAGAAAAACAAAATACAATTTGGAGTCTCAGATATAACACATTTGATGTTAATAATCTCAAAGACTATAATAAGCATCAGATGAATAATCATTTAATCCTAAAAAATAACTTTTTGAAACATTTGTATTTTGAATAAGAAACTGTTTATCTTGTCATAATACTTAGCATAAAATGAGTATAGAATTATAGTTGACTGCCTGGGTTAAAAAAAAAAAATCTACAAGCAGGATGTAGAATCTAATCAGGTAGAGAAGAGTTTAGCTGCAATCTTGAAAGGAGTGCATATTTTCATCAACTCAAATCACAGGTTAAGTTATAAAGTTAGTTATAATAAAAAATAAATAAACCTTTAAAAAGTTCTTTAAATTCTGTTATCTTTCTGACACTGGAAATCAGTCTGCCTTTTCCAAAAATTCATAAAACTGAATCAGATAGTACTGGACTCATGTCTGGCTTTCTTCACACCTGTGTATAATGGTTTTTGACATTCATCCATATTGCTGCATGTGTCAGTAGTTTGAACATTCCTTTTTATTGCTGAGTAGTAAGCCATTATACAGATATACCACTGCTTGTTTATCACCTGTTGATAGACATCCGGGTTATTGCCAGCTTTTGGCTATTATTAGCAATGTTGATACAAACATTCATGTACAAGTCTTTGTGTGGACATAAATTTTACTTCTCTTGGGTAAATGCCTAGGAGTGAATTGTTGGACCCTTTGCTAAGAAGAGGTTTTTAAGAAGTGGCCGAACTATTTTCCAAAGCGGTTGTACCATTTAGCATTTCCACCAGCACTGCATGCAAGTTCCAGTATAAAAATTATATATATGTGATACAGGCTTACATACTCAGTAAAAGAAAAGACTTCGGTTTGGAAATTTGCTTCAGTATTTGAAGTGCTCAACATGTTAACCTGTGGCTTGGGCATAAATACCCCAAAAGGTTATGACCTGAGTCCTAAGCTTTGTATCAGATAACGTGTGACCAAATCATGGTTCAAAATAATCTACCTGAAAACAGAAACTCAGCCAAAATAGTAAATATTCTCCCCTTAGGGAAGTCAGTGACTATGTAACCTGAGAAGATGCAGAAATAAATGAATACATGAAGCAAAAAATTTCCACCTATTAACTCTTTTGAATTATATTTAACAACACACTTTACAGTTGATTGTTTACATGTGGTAATGTGCATGTGTGTTATTCATGCTGTGTAACAGCACTGAAATTCTGCTATGTTTAAGTTGTGGTTATAGTATGAAGCATTTGATATTAATTAGAAATTTTAAGAGAACATAATTTTGTTAAGTGTTTGAATATTTAATACAACTCATATTCTACATCCTCATCTTGATTTTTTACATTCAAGTGTTGCTTAAATGCTTAGAAAGATTTTGCTTTTTAGAATTGAAGGTCTAGTTCAAAGTGTTTTTGAAGAATATATTTTAAGTTTACTTTAAAAGTTTAAGATAATTAAATTATTGAAATTTATAAATAAGATTGGTTATTTAGGAGATGTCAATCTGTTTAAATATATGGTTATCACAACATTAATCAATGGCAAAAGCAAAGACAATGTTACTTTTGTAACAATTATTTGACTTATAAATGAGACAAGATTTATGAATTTAAAGTCTTCTAAAATAAGATTTATAAATTTACAACTTAAAAACTGAATTGTAACTTAAAGAAATAAGTCACTTTTACATATAGAAGACGCTTAAGGATTTTATGAACTCCTTAAAGGACAAACGTGGAGGAGTCACCACTCTGAAGAGACAAACTCAGGACAACACTTCCCACCCCTCCGTAGCCATAGTAAGAATCCCTAATTCCTGATTTTAAAAACTGAAATTTAGTAATTTGCATTGAAATAAAATACACTGCTGATTTCTTATTAAACTAGCAATATTATATTTAATAAGTTTCCTTCTACTTTCTATTCTAGAAATAAGCTCATGAGGTAATCTTCTTTATTAACTGTATTGATTTCCTGATTCTGAATTCTCCTTGTTTTATTAGGATAGACACTGTTTTGTTATTCTTTGGATACATTACTAAAATCTACTGTTTTACTTATACTTTTTACATCTCTGTGCCTCATTGAAAATTGGCTTATATATTTTTTTCTGTCTTGTGCGATTTTTAATTGGGTTATTTTATTATTAAAAATGAACATGGTTCAAAAATGAAAAGGTTTTCAATCTTTTCTTAAGACTGAGATAGTTTAGAATTACTTGGTACTTTAAAGATTAGATAAAACTTAGGTGTAGCCTGAGTGCCTTTCTTGTACAGTAAGTTTTTAAACATCTTTTCAAACTTTTTAATGATAACAACTGGTCTATTCACATGTTCTACTTCTACAGCCAATTTTTTTTTTTTTTTGTCTTTTTTGTGACCGGCCACACCACGCTAAGCCAGTGAGTGCACCAGTCATCCCTATATAGGATCCGAACCCGCGGCAGGAGTGCTGCTGCGCTTCCCAGCACTGCACCCTCCCGAGTGCGCCACGGGGTCGGCCCTTCTAAAGCCAATTTTAATAATTTTTGTTTTGCTAAGAAATCACCCCAGGTTTCCATATCTGCTGCTATAGGGTTGGTTGCAGGTAGTATGCGTCTCATTCTTTATCCTGTATCTATAGTTATATCTTCTCAGTCCAAATATTCAATATTTTCATTTTACTCTTTTTCCATTAATCTAAACGATGAATTATCTATCTTGCTAGCATTTTCTTAAGGGCAGTGTTTTTATTTTCTATGTGTTTTGTTCTCTACTTCATTACTATTGCCTTTTAAACTGTTATTTTTTTCCCTAGATTCTCATATTTTTAAGATGAGTATCAGCCAACTTCACTGTTCGCTTAACAATGAAGACATTTAAAGTATCTTAATAAGCATACGTTTCCCAAAAATTCAAAAATATTTGGCATGTAGGGTTTTCTTTTTCATTGACTTTTAAAAGACTCTGATTTTGCTTTTCATATTTTATTTGTTCTCAGATTGTCCAGGACTGAGTATTTCAATTTCCAAGTAAATATTTTGGGGAGATGAATTATTTGTCTGTTATTAAATTATAACCAGAGAATTTGGAGTATAGAATCTTTATTTTTAAAAAACTAAGGTTTTCATATAGCCAAATTCATTACTGATTTTTATAAGTGTGTCATGAATGTATGAAAGAATACATTTTCTTTACTGAAGTTTACTTCTTATATTACTGAATTCTGTCCTTACTTATCTTTGCCTACAGATCCATTTAATCCTGTGACATCAATAGAAGAATTGTACTATAATGTTATTTTTTACCCAAGTATTTCTCACCTTTCTTATAGTTTTGACTTTATATTTTTGTTTGATATAAATTTAGCAAGTATTTATTTAAATTACATGTTCTTCATAAGTAATGTCTTTTATCATCAAATCATCATATCCCGCTTAATTCTGAACAGGCAGGAGATGGGCTTTGGTAGGCAAGCATTAAAACAATACCTGTACAATGCCTATGAACTAACACAAAACCAAACAAGAACATTCATGTAAGATCCACAGGTAAAATACCATATGAAATGAAAATAAAGCTCACCTTTTCCCAGTTGAGAAAAGCTCTCAAACAGTTTAGAACCTCTCCTTTAGCGCGCTGCCTGGCAACTAACTGCATTGCTTTATTAATCACGGACTGAGAGAGAAATATATCATGCCACATGTTTGCAATAAACAAAGTCAATTTCTCAGACTCTGGAAAATCTATGAGAAAGAAAATCATGCAATAAACCTTATGTCTGATCAAGTGAATAAATTACAAACTAGGGATAAATTTTATTAATTTCACTGGTGCCTTGCAAGGCATGTTGCAGCTGAAGAGATTATACCTGGGCAGCCTCTAGTCTCAGTTATTTCAACATCTCTTTTTCCCTTTGGCAAGCTTTCTTTAGTTAAATTTAACTTATTTATTTATTTTTGGCAGCTGGCTAGTACAGGCCAACCCTTGACCTTGGTATCATATGACTGCATTCTAACAAACTGAGCAGGGTCCAAACTCTTGACCTGGTATCATAACACTGCATTCTAACCAATTGATTTAATCAGCCAGCCCCTTTAGTTAAGATATAAACAAGATACAGAAATATACAGTACTGTATGAAAAAAAGATTATCTCCTAAACATAAAGAAAAGGCAAAAATCCTTTCTCTAAACTTCCTTAGGCCCAGAATTTTCCTATTTGATACATGTGCATTTATGCATTTACACAGGACGTCTTACTTGTAGAGCACATAAAGCTTTTGATTTGAAGAGTTATGTTTCATAAATCATGGATGACGATCCTTTTGTCATAAATACTTTCTCCTGCACTCTGGCTTATCTCTTTTTTTTTAATGAACTTAATTGAAGTACAGTTTACACACAATGAAATATACTCCAAGTATACAGTTCGATAAATCTGACAAATGAATGAATCCATGTAACCACCATCACCACCACGATCAATATCCATTGTCCCTGAAAGTTCTCTCACTCTGACCCTTTGCAGTGACTCTCACACAGCCAGATTCACAGAACCCTCACTGGCCTACGGTCACTATGAATGTTTGCCTTTTCTCAGATATTTATGAATGGACTCATGTAGTATGTACTCTGTTCTGACTGGCTCCCCTACTCAGCATATTTTGAGATTCATTCACGTCACTGCATGCACCAGATGTCTGTTCCTTTGTATGGCTGAGTAGTATTCAATTGTTGGATCTGTCACACTTTTTTTTCATTAACAGATAAAACTGTGTGTATTCACTGTGTGCAGCATGATCTTCTGAAGTATGTATACACTGTGGAATAGTTACCTTACATGGTTACTTCTGCAATGAGAATACAACCTCCATTCACAATTTGTTTTCCATTCATCTGCTAAAGGATATTTATTTCTATTATGAGCTATTATGAATCAAAATGTTATAAATATCTGTGTACTAGTCTATGTAAGAATATGTCTCTATTTCTGTTGGATAATTACCTAGGAGTGGAATTTCTGGTAAATGTGATAAATGAATGTTTTGATTTTATAAGAAACTGTGAAAGAGTTTTCCATGTGGTATACCAGATAATGTGAAGAATTTTATACTGCTTGGTGTGAAGTCACATCATTCAGTTTTCTCTGTTCTACTTTATCATTTGTGTGTGTCTAAAGAGTAGGTAGCTCAAAATGTAAACTCGCTGCACTATTTTGATCTGTTAATCTCTAAATCCTGTGTTTGCCAGGTGGTGCTTCTTCCTGCCTCAGGACTTCTGCACGTGTTGCTCCCTCTGCCTGGGATTCTCCTCTCCCTCTTCCCCCAAGCATGTTTTGTGCATCTTCATATCTCGAGTTCAAGTCACTTTGACAAAGAAAGGTTTTTTGACCCCTCGGACTACTGCAAACCCACCTTCCAAAGTACAGTTCATTCATTCAACAGACAGTTAAGGATTACCAACAATTCATTTTTCTGAGGTGGGGAAAGAGAAGGAACCAGACAAACAAATTCCTGTCCTTACACAGTATACAATCTAGTGGAGGAAAGACAACAAACACACAGACTTCGATAATTTAAGGAGCTGTAAGTGCCATGAAGATTAACAAAGGAGAATAAGGGAGACAGAGTAAGGAGATATGTGCAGTAACAGAATGAGCCATAGCAAAGTTGAGAGAAACAGGAAAGAGACCTGTAAGCAAAGAGCTTGAGGTGAGAAGGAGCTTGTGCTGTGGCTGAGAGAGAGCAGGATGCCCAGCGTGGTCTCATCTGGGCCCCCAATCCTCTCCTGTCTGCCACCACCACTGTACAGTCGAGGTGTGACAGTAACAAGAGCTATCAGTCCCCTGGACAGTTGTACAGGGATCTGGTTTTGGTCACCCTAGAACTGCTAACACTTACCATGCACCCCATAATGATTTATTGAATAAAGGAGTGACTGAAAGTGTAAATAAGAAAATGAAATGGGCAACTGAGACAGTAGCTTCATTTATGACCCTAAAAGTGGAGGATATTCTCAATTACCCTGATTAATAACCTCATAAACATAGTAATACAAGATTACAAATCTTTGCAACTGAGATAAGACTTTCTGATATAATATTAAGGTGTATTTGTATATCTTACAATTTAAAAATACTGATGAATTTTGTATTCATCAATCAAACAATGAAGAATGACTCCTAATCTGATCCATTAGCAGAAACTGAAGAAATAGAAGAGAAAAGATAATCCCAGGCCGACCCTCCTGTCACTGTCTCTTTTCATGAACTTAGGCATCCACCTTAGAGCTGCTGCCCTTTCCAGCTAGTGGCACAGCAGTTTGGCTTGTCACTTACTTTAAAAGCATTCCTATATTTTATGACAATTATATCTGATTCTAAAGCAGCTGCAGAGGGAATAAAACAAACATGCATTAATGAGAGATACTCTATTTATATACAAGTGGAAATGTATGTGCTGTTCTAAGTAAGTTTAATTTTCCTGCTGAAAACCAGGTACAGCTAGGTACAGCTAAAGCTACTCACGCACTCTACTAAAATGCCCTGAACGTAACATTATTTAAAAAGATACACAGCAATCACTTAACTGAAAACATAGATCTGAGCATAACAAGGTAAAAAAGCAACAGTATAGTTTCAGTGCAAAAACGCTGCAATCTCAACATACCTTCCTTAAGTAGACTGTAGCAAAACAAGCGAGCTCTTTCTAAGTCTCCAAGTTGCCGACAAATACCCACATATACTCTACAGAGGGCATGAATATAATTGTGGTCCACAGACATCTTCTGAATTTTTAGTTCTGAGAGAATAGAGTGAAGCAAGCACTCCGCTAAATGCTGGATTGGAAAAAAAATAAAAACACAATGCACATTTGTATTTATTTTTAGCCTACCTAAAAATAGCTAAAAATTATAAAATCAAGTATCTAATGGAAAAATAAAACTTGCACTGTATCAGAAGGCAGATCACAGTAATAACTGGTAAGGATTTGCCTGGCATGGTAAGTCATGATAACTGGGGGGACGGGAGAGGGTGTTAAAAAGTTCCCATACCTGCCTGTTTTCTGTGGTTACTAATGGTGCAGATGCCAGCTGGCAACTCTGAACATAGCTGGTTGCCTACTGTCACTACTACCACTCAACTGAAACATAATTTGGTTTTTGTTAAAATAATCTGTGTGTGTGTGTGTATTAAATTCAGTCTAATTATACTCCCATTCTTATATTCTAAACTCGTTTACATTATATACTGTTTATATTCTAAATTATTGGGTACCATTTTCTTACTTGGGAAGAAGAGCATTAAATAATAATTTGATACATTCATTTAAAAAAAATCCTTTCGAAGTTATCTGTAGTGCTCTTTATGCTTCTAAAAGTAAGCAATCTAAAAAGTAAATAAAATATTTATCCCATAATGACTCCAAGCACATGCAGATAACTACTAAAGCATGATCCATGGAGCACTGGAAATCATCCACACAAGGTATTAATGGCTGTCTAGAAAACATAAAACTACAAAGTCTAATAAATTATGTCTGTAAATCCGCACAACCCCCTTTCCCCTCGCTGCCTTGAAACTAAGCACTTGCTCCTGTTTGTGATATTTGTGATTGGGAGTCTTTCTGAAAGACTCTCAAAACACTTAAATATGTATAACTGCTATTCAAGGAAAAGGAAGGATCTAATTGTGATTATTTGACACTTTAAAGAAAATAATTTTAAGCCTTTATACATGTCAGGATCAATTGGAAATACACAATTTTAGTTCTAACACCTTTTATTCTTTAGAATTTTAAGTTATTTGATGAATACAAATGATCAAACCTCCAGTATATTTCAAACTTATAAAATACTAGATAGTAATAAAATGCCTGTCATAAGGTTTATATGGATAATTCTCAGTCTCTGAGATAAAACCGAAGCTCAGGGTCATCTACATATTTTGCCAATGCTGAGCAGCCCCGAGGACACACAACTCTAGTGCACTTAAAGAAACACAGCCACGTACCTTTTTTGTTGTGCTAAATTCATAAACAACTTCTTTCTCTTGATCTCTCATCACAGGCTTTTTGGAGATATTTCCCACATATACATGACTACGAATGACAGGTAACAGATCAAAAGAAGACTCTGCAATTTTCTTCAGTGCATTAGTTATGGCTTTATCATGTGACTCCACAGTTTCTTGTGGGTTTAGGGGTAACTGTGCAACAGTATCTGCGGTGAGAACAGAACTTTCTTCCTCATCTGTTATGACTTCAGCTTGAGGAAGGTTCCTTTGGAGGTTCCTATGCATTCCTTCTGCAGTAGTTCCCCTGGTTTCTGGTTCTGGGGACCCAATGTCCAGGCGCAGTCTTTTAGCACTCCTCAGTGTAGACGCTGACAATGTTCTTTTCCCACCTGAATCCTGCTGAGTCTCCAAATCTCTTGACTTCTCTTGGTTACTGTCACCACTAGAACTGCCTCCTGTTTTGACAAAAGCAGTTGATGTTGAAGTGATTGCTTTGAATCCTATTACGGCACTGACAGGCCCTGGTAAATTCTTACGATCAGTGGATGGACCTCGAGTGAGCTGAATATTCCCTTTGAGGATGTTGAGGGTCCGGGCCCTGGCAGATAACTCTGGGTACATGGTGTCAAGGATTTTAACGGAATTCTCCTGAGGCCCTCCCACTGCAGCATGGCCAGAGGCACGGGGTGGGAGTCGGCCAGGCACGGGAAGTGCATGCTTTGGTGTGGCTGCACAGAACTGCAGAGGTGATGACACTATCCTCTCACCGGCTGATGCAGCAGATGGAGATGGAGAAGGACCTGGAGGAGAGGCACATCTGGGGTCTTCGGGCCATGGAGACATCAGAGGAGGCACAGGAATTTCACATGAGGGAGAAATCTGGCCAGCGAGAGAGGTGGGTGAGGAAGGACTAGAACTTGATATCAGAGGAGAAAGTGGCTGTGAAGTCCTTGGAGGTGTAGCTATCAGAGGTGCAAGCAGGGGAGGCAAAGGAGGCCCAACCTCTTGCCTGATTTTATTCAGAGTGTCAGGAGAACAGTCTGTAGGAGTAGATGTATCAGCATTAGCTAGAATGGTCTGAGTCTGATTTCTTTGAGTTTTTGTATTACCTCTTTCCCCTGAAAATGACTGAGAAACCTCACTCTGGTGAGTTTCAACCCTGCTTGATGCTAAAGTCTTTATTGGTTTGTTTGATTGATCTTTGTTTGAAATCTTTGATCGATTCTTATTTTTGCCAAATGGATCTAATTTTGAGTTATAATATGTGTGATCAGATGCAACAATCTGAGATTCAAATGTCTGATCATATATTTGAGAACTAATCCATATACTAGGCTTAACAGGTCTATTCCGCAAACGAGTTTTATCAAAGTTGGTACTCTGACCACTGCTTGAAACATCCTCCTGGGTGCATGACAGATTACTGCCACCAGGAGGCTCCTGAAATGGAGGGCCAGTGTGATCAGTCTCTGGAGACTTCTCCACAGAAGTCAGTGAAATGAAACCAGCCTCCAGTCCTCCTTGATCCTGAGAAGGAGCGATGCCTCCAGGAGTGTCACCCAGCACAACCTGGTCCACCTCTGGCACAACAGCTACACCACTGATGATTGTCCAGTTGTCCCCCTTTTCAATGACTAAATTCTGATCCTTATTTATAAGTACGTTTATAATTTCTGAAGTCACTGTCGATATTTGACACTGAAATGCTGTTTCCTCACAGCTGGAGCTCTGCTCTGTCATCGGTTCTCCTGCTGAGGCAGAGTGCAGGGCTGAGGGCTCCACAGGCTCTTCCCCACCATCTGTTTGCCTGGTGGCACTGGAATCATCCTCGGGCCTGCTCTGAACATTTTCATTATCAGGTCTGTTACTGACAGGAGAGTTGCTTCTAGCATCCAAGTCGGCTATTAGTGGGAGCAGTTCTGAAGTATGTGAAGAGGAGCTAGTTGTTTCCTGAGATGGAACTTGTTCTTTTAAATTTTCAGTTGTAATGTTGTTATGTAGATTTAAGAGCAATAAATTGCCTGTGTCTTTATCATTACAGTCCTCATAATTTGTCTGAAGTTCTTGCCCAATCTTGGTGAGAACCTCAGTCAGTGTTTCCAAAGAACAAGGAGTAAGCTGACTGGTATTTTTTAAAGAATAATCATCTTCTAATTCAATCCACTCTTCGGAGGTTCCAAGTATTTCTTCTTCACAGGATTGCTTTCTGTATTTTTCTCCTGATATTTCACTTTGCTTTAATTCTTTGTTCATTTCTTTAATTAGGGTCCCTTTGCTAGAACATTCTGAAACAGAGTCCCCTGAACTATAATCCCTTAACTGACAACTTTCAAGAAACATAACAACCTCTGATGTAGAAAGTCTGTCTATCTCAGAAAAAGTACTTATGTTAAAATCCTGCAGAGCAGAGGTCAAGTAACCTACCTCTAAGGAAGGTCTTGTCTCAGCTGCACCAGCACCTGCACCTGCTAAACTTTTCTGGGAGTCGTCACTGGCACCCGGCTGTGTGTTCCCCACCTCAGCTTCCGCGTCATGTTCACCCTCACTACAGCTAAATGCCTCGCTCTCCTCTATCTCGGTGTCCTCGTCCCTTCCCTCCCGAAGGCCTATGTAACAGTGTAAAGTATCAAGAGGGCTACTCTGGGAGATATCCCGTGTCTCCTCATCTTTTCTGCAAAACACTGATGAAAAAGCAGTGCCTGTGGTGACAAAACATTCAGGAAAAGAAACACTAGGAGTTTTAGATTCCAACTTAAAAAATTCATTAGCATTTTGTGTTCTAGGAGAATCACTTACAACAGCCAGGGCCTCACTACCAGAACTTCCAGTGTCCCCACAGGGTATTTCTTCAATAGCAAAACCTGCTGACACTGTCACTTCTGTGGCTGGAAGCAGCTCACTGCCACCTGTCCCACTGGAGTCCGGGTCCACGGCAGAAAGAAACTGCCTTTGCTCCTGTGCCTCTCCTGGCACTGCAGCTTCCCTTACAATGTCTTGGTTTTGGACAAGGATGTTTTCAGAAGAGAAAGGTAATTTACTATTAGTGGAACAATCAGAATTTTCTACTGGTAAAGAACCAGTTGCAGAATTAAAATCTAATTTTCTCTGAGAAGTAGAAACTTCTGGTGAAGTGCTTTTCACAGCAGCCACCTCTGTGATGTTCGGAGTTGTATTATCTCTTTCTCCACCACATTTTGCTGTGTATGACATATGACTGGTTTTGTTATCATTATTTTCCATTGCTAAGGTAGGCACATTCCCACATGGTCTCAAGTGTTCCAATTTAGCAGTTTGTGCCTTTTCGGGTCTTGCCTGCTTTGTGATAACTGATACTTGATTAGACAGTAAGGATGCAGCAGCCTTCAATTCTACAGAGCTCTTATCACCTCTAGGGAGTGCGAGCTTGGATGTCGACCCTTTATTTAGTAAGGACAGTGCTGCCTTTTGTAATGGGTAGTTAGTCTTTTGTCCCTGCTCTGATTTAGCTCTCAGACTTTCTTCACAACCTCCCCGTAATACATTGCTTTGGTGCCACGAAGAGCTTTTAACAAAACCAAAACCACTCTTGATGGAGCCAGGCTGAGAATCTACCAATGTTGTGAAATCTGACTTATTCAGAGGGAGCTCCATTCCTGGATCCCGACTGTCACACTGTCCCTCTTTCGTGGCTCTCATAAACACTGACTGGGGGAGTGAGTATATTTTGGTTATGCCTTTTGTACATGCTACCTCACTGCTCTTCTGATCATTAAAATCAGATTCTCTCAATTCAGGGCTCAAAGTACGCAAGCTACTCTCCAGGTCATTTCCTCCTTTAGAACACTCTGGTGGCTCAGACTGCAGATGTAATGTGTTTAAAGTTTTACTTTGTAATTTTTGTTCCAAATGATGCAGTTCAGTAGGGGTATTCATATCATTAACATACCCTAACCCAGAAGACTGGGGATCACTGCAAACAGACAATGCAACTGAGGTAGAAGAGGAAGAAAATCTGGCTTCAACGTCAAGCCCCGCTGCAGCCACTGCACCACCTGCGCTTTCATCTTCTGCTTCAGGGGATTCTCCTGAAATGAACCCCTGTGTATGTTCTCTTTCCTTCCCCATTTCTCTACGTATTCTCTGAAAGTGGTCAGAAACTGCTACACAGTCTGATTCAGAAGGGACTTCATTAGTTAGTGTCCACTTAGTAAACTCGGATTTGGGTGATCCCATCATTTTGGACAACACGGTTTTTCCTTCAGATTCAATGAATTCATTCAATGGCCTCTCACCAAGGGACAAATGACCAGACTCCGACTTCCCAGTAGCAGCTTCCCTCTTTTGTGCCAGGCTGCCGGGCGACTTGTCAGTGCACAGGGTTCTGCTGGGTTTATGAAATGTCTCCTCAGTCTGCACTGAGCTACCCATTTCCCTGACCTCTATCTGGCTTTTTGCCTCATCTGAAATGTCTCTTTTTCTATTGCTCATGAAGTCAGATGACACTGTCCAGGGGCTTTCACAAGCTAAAGAGCATGATGTGGTTGAAGGTTCTCTCAGTGTTGCTGTTAAAGTCTCACATCCAACAGTTGTCACTTTATTTACTGCCAATGGATTTAGAGCTTGGATACCTTCATGTGATTTGGGCCTTTCCTCCCATGTACCACTTCCTTTATTTTTTCTGTATGAACCAAAATGATTCTGTGATTCAGTTGTATCATCTTCTGAAATAGATTCAGAGGAATTTCCAAGCTGGGCCGAGTCATTATCACTTGAATCTGCATATTCTCCAAAGTAGGTTCCCTTAAAAAAATACGAATTACACTAGTTAAACACTAACTCGGCAGACTAAAAATGACTATTGACTAAATGTATTTTTTTAAAAAAGTACACGCTCCTTTAAGAATTCCAGAAATCACACCTGAGAAAGGGTAGTCTAGGTTCTGGAATCTGCTAGCGGGTAGGGAGTCTCACTCAATCTCTTGTACAACATGGCTCTACCTGCTCCTTACAAAAGCCCAGCCCTGCCACCCAGAGGCCCCTCCCCCAATCACACTGCTTCTCCCATAACAGGCACTCTCCAAAGCCCCATGCCCCACTCCATACAGGGCCCAGGGTTATTTTATGTCTGTTCTCTCAGCTTCCACACATTCCTGCCCCCAAACTCTTACTTTCCCATCTTCTGGTAAAAAAGGCTCAATGCAGAGGTTTATGGCCTCTGGCTACGGGGCTCTCTATCTTCCCTCCTCCTGTTGTCTGGTAGACACCTCCTACCACGCACCTCCCCAGCTGTTATCAGCCACACCTCTGCCTCCCTCACAACACAGCTCTCCTGGCCCCCGTTCTCCAGCCAGTCAGTGCCCAGCTCTGCTCCAGAAACCTCCATGACCTCCAACCATCACCTCTTGCCTTGTGTTAACTGCCTCTGTCATGTGTCTCGCCTGGTGACATAAACTTGCTCTGACTGAAAACACTCTTTCCTCTTGAACACTAGAGTGCTGTTAGCTCCTGGCTTTCCTCTACTGTCCTGCCACCTGCTTCCAATCTCTTTCTTTGCTCTTCCTCTTCTATTGGTCACTTATGTATTGACAGTTCCCCAAGAATCTGACTGAGACCCCACCCTCTTCAATGCACTCTTACTGGATGACATCAGAGTCACATAGCTTCTACTGTACTTAAATGCTGACAGGCCCTAAACATCTGTGTCAACAATGGGTCCCCCTGCCAGCACCATGCCTGTGTATCTAAAATGTGTACTGTATACATCCACTTAGAAATCCTACACACACCTAGCATCTAACATTTTACACATTATTTTCCCACCTAAGCAGGGTCTCTTCTTATGTCTGCTATTTTTCAACATCCTTGACTGCCCATCTCCTCTAACAACCACATTGAAAATGTCACTAAATGCTGCTCATTTGACTTTGTAACATTTTCCAAACTAGTCTTCAACTCTTTAACCCCAATGTCACAACTTGGGTTCAGGCATCAAGAATCAAGTAAACTGTTTATTAAGTCACTGCCCTGGCGATGGGCTTGCCTGTTTCCTGACTATCCCTCACTCTACTCATTTGTACTGTTACTGAACTGAAACGTTCAAATGTAAATCCATCATTAAGTGCATGTCCTTGGACTCATCAAGGATTTCCCATTGGCTTCAGGATAAAATGAAACTCACTGGGAGGACACCCGTGACGCTTCCTGATGTGGTCTGCATGAATGTGCACCAACACAGTGTTTACCTTCAATTCTGTGCTGACATATAAACAGCTCCTCCACCTAAAACACCCTCTCTCATTCTTTAAAACTCAGTGTGAAAATCCTATCTCCTGGAAACATCTCGCATCCCCCCGACCCTTGCTCCATTCTGGACTGAGCAGAGTGTGTTTCCCAGCACTATGGGGCTCTTCCACAGCAGTGAAGTCATCTGTTCCCTTCCTGGTCCTTCCCCGACACAACAGACCCACCTGAGCAGCCACCCATCCATTGTCATCTCTGCAGTCCCAGTGCCTAGCCCTGAATATAACAGACACATGTAATGTTTCCTGAAGGAAGAGACTCCAAGGAGCAACACATTTATCTGTTCCTGAAGCCAAAAACTACATAAATCTGTTTCATCAAGACTAATTTCCTTAGAGACTACTATAAACCATTCTGCAAATACACAAAAACTTGATGAATTCATCAAGTAAAGGCAGGGAACTCAGCTGCATTAGGCTAACGGGCACACGTGTTATATATGTGGACTTCCCTATAACTATGAACTACACACCTACAAATACACATTCGATCCACTGATTCCATATCCATGATGTGCCAAGCACTAGATGTGAGAACAAACAAGACAGTCTTCCTACAGAAAACATACAATTTGGTTATGGATAAAGACAAATAAAAGTGCAACTATATTATGATGTTGAAAAAATTCACACTGTATATGTTGATTCAAAGGGTCTGGTACACCTTTTGAAATTCTCATATTGTCTCTTGATAAAATTGGCTAAAATGAATAGTTTTTGCCTGAATACCACTAATATCCTTTGAGTATTACTGACATATTAAGATAGACATGTACCTGCTGCCAACTCAAAATCAGAAAGCAGAACTCACAGGTGGGAGCGAAGAAGGTAATGAGCCCAGGTGTGGAGATGACATCGGAGGGGGTGAGGGCACTGGAGACAGAAGAGGAGGGGGAAGTTTGAAGAAGTCAATTGCAGCTTGAAGATCTTCATCAAAAAAATGATCATGGTCAGAAAAGTCAGTACTGTCACTGTCATTGTGACTTTGTATTAAAACCTCAGGATTCCCGTCCTCATTAAAAACATGGTCAGTACTATAATTTGCTCCACTGGGCCTCTCTTTGTCCACATTTTTACATGAAGAAAGGTCACCCTCTATCTCCATGGACAGTTCTGTGAGGCATGTCTGCACATCTGAGGTCCTGAGAGGACTGCCTTGTGTTGGAGGTAGTGTGCCATCTTCCTCAGATGGTCTGGATCCTGTGTATTCTTTGGCAGGTTTTTCTGTTGGTGGAGGGGGAGAAGATATCAAATACGATGTCATAGTTACAATATCAAGAAAACTTAAAAAAAAACAACAAAAAAACTTGATTTTAACAGTTCAAGGTGCTTGCATATTTAAGTCCAAGTAGAACACTTTACAAGGCAACCAATCACTTTATAAACATTTTCCTGGAAGTCCTGAATATGTTTCATATAAGTATGTTAACCTTATCATAAGAAAAGTGAGGTAGAGAGAGAAACAAGGCATAGCTGGAAATGCATCGGCACCAGTGGTAATGGGCCTTGCTAACTTGCTCATTCTCTCAGTGAATCTTTCCATATAACTAGCAGAATTTGACAAAGAAACAACATTGTGCATAGGTGAATAGTGACACTTTTTTCCCTGAGCAAAGAACGATCTGAAATCAACCAAGATCAAGCCTACCCATGGCCATGTCTGCACAGTGCACTAATTGAGAAACCTAACTAGGCCATATGAATACTTCATATGATGATGTTACAGAAAAGTTACTATAAAAAGCCAGTCCTTTTTGGGTCTTGATGTTTGTAAACTTCAGTGGTACTAATTATTAGCAAAGATATATGGGTCCTAGGAAATCATTACAAATAACCATTTGTTATATTTGAAATCTGTGTAAATAAGTTTTACAGAGGATCTAGGGCTCCTGGGAGAGGGGTTGACTATAGAGCTTGGGAGGGAAAATACAAGCTGAGACTGAAACATCTTGTGGTGCCAGAAAATAAACTACTCAAAACAACATAGGGTATGTCTAAGGGGCTCAGGAGCCGATCTGAAGAAGCTCCAATAACCAAAGCTGGAGCAATTTAGACAGTAAGTAATAATAATAAATTATAATGCATAGAATAAAAGAGGATATGTCAGAAAGTTTGTGGGAAAATACAATTAAAAGATGATGCTAATCTTTCCATGAACTTTTTGAAGTAACCTCATATCTGAAATTATACTAATATAAACGAATATGAGAATGAATAAATAAATGGTGGAGAAGGTTCATCTCTTCCTGACAGAATTCCAACGAACAAAGGCAGAAGGAATGAGAGAAGTACAAAAATCAGTACTAGGCAAACAAGAAAGCAGTAACTGTAGCAGGAAAGATCCATTAACATGCTATAATCAGTGAGTGACAATTTGAGAAAGAGAACATTTGTGTAATGTCAAAGAATCTTTCTCAAGTTAATTAATTAACTAGGAAAAAAGAGCCACCGCACAAGAGAAACCTGCAAACACCACATTAATGTGATCAAGGTTATCATCCTGGTGATAATACAAATACACATCACCTATTCCCAGCACAGTGCCCTGAGCAGAGGGAAACTGAAACATTACCACTGAGCTGTTCTTGCCATAAATACACATCCTCAACCTAACATGAGAAAATGTCAGACAAGCCAAAAGAATAGGCTTTCTACAAAATAATACTTTTCCCCAAGTGTCAAAGATCTGAGAGATAAGGAAAGACCAAGGAACTGTCAGACTGGAAGAGATTAAAGGAAGATGGCCACTAGATGCAACACAGGGTTCTGGACCGGATCCTGGGATGAAAGGAGGACACCAGTGGGAAAACTGGTGAAAGTCACATGAGGTCTATAGTTCTGTTCATAGGACTGCACCACATAGTCTTGTTTTGATCACTGATAATGGAAAACATTAAAATGAGAGAAATCTGGGTAAGGTTCAAGGGAATTCTCTGCACTGTTTTTTAGCTGTTCTCTTATAAGATAAGCTTAAAAAAATATGTTTTATGGTATAATAAGATTTGAAGATGACATATTTCCCCTTCTACTTTGGAAAAGTTAACATAAATGATAGACATATCCCTCAAAAGCATGTGTTTAAATAAAAACAGATTATTAAATAAAGGACAGTCCTTTTTTTTTTTTTTCCTTTTTGTCTTTTTTCGTGTCCGGCAACGGATCGCAACCCTCAGTGTTGCGCCCGTACCGGACTGGGACCGGCAACGAGATCGCAACCCTCAGTGTTGCACCCTCACCTCGCTCAGCCAGTGAGCGGGAACCGGTCTATATGTGGGATCCGAACTCTCGGCGGGAGTGCCGCCGCGCTCCCAAGCGGCGCACTGTAGCAGTGCGCCACCGGGCCGGCCCAGGACAGTCCTTTTAATAACATCTTTAGCAACAAAAAATCAAGTACTTAAAATAGAGTATTGACTGATATAGAAGACTGAAAAGGACATCCATGCTGCTTCTGCCTGAACAGATAAATAGATAAATTCTAAAATGAAAAGACTAATTTAGGAGTTGCAGGCACCACCTGCTTACTATCAACACTATTATACTATAGGTGAACTGAGAGAAAAGTATATTTAAAAGAACTCCATCAAACATGCTTTTCTCTGTACACCTGGCAAGTTCTAAATCCAGCATAAATAAGAATCACTAACTTGTCCATTAATACTTTGTTGAGGGTACTTCATCTTCAGAAGCCTGAGACGAAAATTAGGTGAACATTTTCTATAGATTTAGATCCTGCATGATCTGAATTCATATCAACTAATCATAAGAAATGACAAAATGTTAAATAAGAAGCACTTTAATCTTCTGCAAGACAGCTATGCAGGATGGCTAATGTTTATTTCCAAATCTTGAACACTGAATGGACTATAACTGTGAATGAGAAAAAAGGCCTACAAGACATTTTACTTAAATCAAGATACTCAACCAAAGGAACTGGTAAATTACATAAAAAACAAATTAGACTAAATTGCTGGTGGTTTGATCGAACTCATGAAACTATTTTAAAAAGCTGTGCATCCTCAAGTCTTCCACACACAACTGTCACATGTGCCTCCACTGTTCGTCCTTCCAGCTTCTTGGAATGTTCTCTGATAAAAGTGCTATTAAAAAATTAAAAGTTCGATGCATTTACTGAGATTAGAAGTCACACTGAAGGGAAAGGAGTTTTATATAATTAAAAGCATCCATTCTGAGTTTACTCTGTTCTTTTAACATTAGATTCAGGAGATATTAAAAACCAAAGGCTGCAAGGCCTATGGTAAACATGTCCACTTTCACATATAAATTGGACTTCCATAAGCTTCTCTCTCACCTGGGATGCATCGGCTGCCTTCACCAGGTAGTCTGTGCGTTGTGTTTACACAGAGCCAGAGTTCCTTCAGAAGAAGTTTTACTTTTCCTGTGAAAAAAATTAAGCATTAAAGTCATGTTATTTGGTTCAACCTACACAAGGCCAAACATACCCCTGTGAACCCAGAGTTTACTAGGGACAGAGAAAACTAGGTAACTTAAATATCTTCCCCAAACTCAACTACTGTGCCCTATTCAGTTAGTGACAGAAAGTAATGCAATGCTATAGCTAAAAATTGAAGGCTAAATATAGGTTTTGTCTGCTTTTTTATTTGAGGGTGGGGAGTGGACTCAAACAACCAAATCTACTTGTTAAAGGATTCTATCACCTTTATGTATGCATGAGACAAATGAATCTTTGGCCCATACATTTTCTCCAGAGTGCTATGAGATGAGCAAAGGAAACACAGTTAGTGACTGATATGCTACAAGGGATCTGAGCTCAATGTGTTCTACGAAGATCAGTAGAGATGCATCTCTCAGTTATATGGGGTTATCAGAACAGTCATCAGAGTTGATCACCCTGTAACTAACCTAGGGGGTTTCATGGATTGTAGAAAATCTATTCATGGACTTGAGAGGAAATAAGATGGGAGACAAAATGTGTGTGTATAAATATATGGATACGGACAGATAATCACATACACATGAGCAGACAGAGAGAAGAATATGTTTTGATAAGAAAAGTAAAACCTTTGGAATTTTTACAAATATTCAAAAGAGTCTGGGTTCTTAAAATGATTAAGAAGCACTGACTCAAGCTGAAAGGCCAAGGGAGTTGTAAGTTAAGACAGCCCTAATGAAATCAACAGAACATTAAGAATATTATACTATAGTTTTAAAGTTTTTTAAACATTGTTAAGTATACAAATTCAAAAACAAAACCTTCCAAAGCAAAATAAAAATTCATGAAAATGTAAATATACATAGCTTGTGGTGAAATGTACATAAAAAGCAACGCACACTAATATGCAACTAAAAGTAGTTTTAAGTATTAGGTAATTTCAGGCCACCTCAAAGTTCTGTCATAGTTTCCTTGAACTTAATTATTTATATTAGCCTTTAGTATTTATTGAAATTAGTGAATCTTTAATCCAGTTCAAGAGAGGCTGAAAAGACCAAGCTTTTAAACCAAAATATCTCCAGGGAATTAGATTTTGAAATAGGTTAGACCTATTTAAGCTGGCAAACTGCATCACTCCGAAAAATGAGGTCCATAGAAAGGGGACCAGGACAAATGTGATGGGAATAGTCACAAATAAGTTTGAAAAGGTGGACACTTCCAACCTTTCCTGAGCCAAACCAACCTTCTGATTATCATTGTGTATGCGGCACATCCATTTTTGAATTCCAAAAGTCTGTGATTGAGTAGCTTATCTACATTGTGATTTAACCTACCCCAAAGCCTGCTTCCAAATACTGTAATCCCCTTTGCTTAAATGACCTGACCAGGATCCCTGCTTATTACGTATACCCAAAGCAGCAAACAAGGAACCTTAAAAAAAAAGAAAAAAAGTTACTTTTCCATTCCTATGGAGGCTATTAACCAGTGCCATGTCTATTCTAATTGAGCACTCACTACTACTAATCTGACCAAAGGAAAAAAAAGCTATCCATTCCCACAAAGCAGAAGACAATCTTCAGTGTGGCTTCATTACTTAGTTATGAAGATAAAACCTCATTAAACTGAACCACACACCCTTCCCCAATCCTTTAAAATATGTCCTTTACCAAAATCTAAGGCAATTATGAGTACTTCTGAACTTTTCTACTGCATTGCTTTGTCAGTCTCTGTTATCAATACCACACTTCATGACAGATTCAAAATTCCCTTTTAATATCTAATCTTTGCTCAATATTTTCCTTTTTAAAAGTTTTATTATTATTCTGAACATCTGTTCTTCCTGATAAAACTTCACCATCTGCTTGACTTTTAGAAAACCTCAATGGGATTTTAAGTGAAATTGTATATTTGCAAATACATTTGGGGAAAGTATCTATCTTCATACTTTAAGTCTTCTCACCCAGGAGCACAATGCTTATGTGTTGAGGTCTTTAACGATCTTCAGGAGTGTTTTACAATTTTCCTCATAAAGGCACTGCACGTTGCTTTTAGACCTCTTTCTAGACACACAATGGCTCAGTTTCCATCTGCAAATGGCTTGTTCTTATTCCATTCCTTTACTGACAGGTTAACAGAGGTACACTGTGTGTGATCACTGCACATGCCGCCACTTTACAAAGCTCTTAATTCTAACTCTGTTCCCAGCTAAGTCTTCTGGCCTCTCTATGTAGACAGTCATATCATCTGAAATAATGACAATCTTGACTCTTCCTTATTAGTATTTACAGCTCCTTCTCTTTTGTGTTTTTATTTTGCTGCATTGGTTAGGGCCTCCAGTATATAAATAATGGAAGTAACAAAAAGCACACTTGCCTTGTTTCTGACAGTAATGACTCTGTAACATTTCACCTTTTGCAAGTTAAAATTGTTTTTTTCTATTATTAGCTCAGCAAATATATATATATATTTAAAACCAGGATGGATACTGAATTGAGATGATCATAGCATTCTCCAAGTCAGTTACAGTAAACCTTAAATCATAATTTTCCTGAATTCTAAATTACTCATGAATTTGATTTCTTAAAACTTAGCATTTCTGCAGCTAGATTAACAAATGATAGAGTTCTGAGTCATGGGGATGTGTGTACATGTTATTTTTATTTGGTGTTAGTACAGGGTTATGCTAGCCTAAGACAATGAAAAGGAAATATTCCATATTTTTCTAAGTTCTGAAACAAATTAATAATAAAGACACCAGTTTTTCACTGAAGGCTCTACAGCTCACCCATAAACCATCTAGATCTGTTATGGTGTTAGGTCTTTACTTTTTAAATTTCTTCTAGGTTATTTTCTGTTCACATTTGCAACAACTATTCTGAGTCAATTTCTGCAAGTTTACCTAGACAACAGTCCATTCATTTACATTTTCACATCTGAACTGAAAATGAGAATTAAGAAATTTCTCAAATGTAGTTTTATAGTTTTCTCAGTCCTGATGTTACTGAGATTGTTTTCCTTCTTTTTTGATCACGCTTGCCAAAGTTGTTAGTTTCAGTAGCATTGCAAACACCCAGCTATCAGTTTTAATGATCCCAAATCGACTGCTTTGTTTTCTACTTTATTAGCTTAAGTTTGCATCTTCATCAATTCCTTCCTTCTATTTTTTTTTTTTTTAGGTTTCTGTTGTACTTTCCTCTCTTATTAGTTGAACACTTCATTTTCTGTATTCCTTGTTTTCTAAAATATTCCCTTAAGGACATAAACATTCCTTTGAATATGAAAGGAATTGGCTATACCTCAAATGTTTTAATAAATAATGCCTCACAGTCTATTTCCAAAACAGTTTGGTATTTCAGTTTTTATTTTCTGTTACCCAAAAGAGTTTGTTTGTGTTTGTGCGTAGTCACCAGGTGAGTTTTGTAGGCTTTTGTTTTTGTGGCTGGGGGAAATGGGGTATTTTTATTAATACCTCATATTAAACTGTAAATTCTTTGTTGTCTATTTATTAATCAGCTTTTATGTTTGAGAAGTATTTTTAAAAACTCTAGATATGTAGTTTACAAAGAGCTGTATGCAAATTATTAGTCTTGCAATTGTGATTCCAATTCCATCTCATCTACTTTAACTCTCTATTTTGGGGAAACATATGGAAGTCTCCCATGATGAAAACAGATTTGGCTATTTCCCCCTAGAATTTCAAAGAGTTTTGTCTGAAAGGTTCATGACCTTAGTATCTTCTTGGTGAAATGTACCTTTATTCAACTTAAATATTCCCTTTTAATCCATGTAAATTCATTTCTAGGCTTGAGTTACTTTTTACTTTATATTATGGCTTTCGTGTTAGCATTGCTTGGGAGATCTTTATTCATCCCTCTATATACAATCTTTCTGCTTCATTTGATTTTAGGTATATTTCCTATGAACATATCAGAGACAGGGACTGTACACAAAAATCATGCTCAACACTTGGCAGGCCCTTCAAATATGAATATTGCAAGTATTTTCTGCTCAGGGAAGTTTCCTTCTATTACTTCTTCATTACTTCTCTCCTATAGTTTTGTTTTCCCCTCAGCAAAGTCATAAAGATGGATATTGAGAATCCAGCTTTATCTTCCAAATTCTTATATTTTCTCTAAACCCTTTTATTTGTCCCTTGCCCCATTCTCAGAGATGCCTAGGATTTAATCCCTAGGATTTAATAGAAGATTCACTAAATAAATCTTCTATTTGTCTATCCAACAATTCAGCCTTTCTAGTGGATTTATTTCTGCAATTGTATTTTCAATTTTCAAGATCCCGAACTGGTTCAATTTCATAGCTGCAGCTTATGGATATATGTTCTTAGACATCTTCCAAGGATACTTATTCAATTTTTAACACTTCTCATTCATAATTTAATAGTGTTTCCTCAGTCTTCTTGCATCTGGTGCCTTTCTTTCTTATCACTGTCTCTCTCAAAGTTTTAGATTAGATTTTAGGCATCCATATACTTTGGTATGCTTTGGTAGCCAAAGTATACTTCCTCAGCCTACATTTTTAATCCTATTCCTTTGGCAATAAAAATATATTCTCCTTTCATGAACCTATAGGACCCACTTTGGGGAGAGGGGGTGATGGTGGTGGCAAATGAATACAGTTGAGAGAATTTACATGGAGCATACAAAACATCTTATTTGCTGGGAACAAGAGTGGCTATCCCTGAAAACAGCCATAATTACCCAATTTTCTGATATACACATCCACTCTTGGTACCTCCTATGTCACAGATAACACTTTAGAAAACTAAGTGGTCTACAATACATGAGCAAAGGCCAAGAACAGATTTTCAAAGCAGAAGGCTGGCACATTTTTCACACTTTAATCAATCACCTGGCAAAATGCTAAGGTCCCGCTGGTTCTCCCATTCCCTACCACCTCTGATAGAAGGAAACTCCAGCCTTCTGCAAGAAAAACTTGCTTTTTGAGAGCTATTTTCTGTACAGTTATGGATTTCATCACCAATTAATGCCATCTGCTTTGCATCTTCCTCACTAGTTTCCTTTAATGATGGTAAACATTTTAACCTTCCAAGAGAGCCTTTTTTTTTTTGGTCATTTTTATGGGAATATGAAAGGAAGAAAACAGAAGACAGCACTCAGGCAGCCTTTTTTAAAAAAAAGTGAAGTCAACTCAACATTCTTCAGTGCTTAACTTGCAAATCTCTTCCAGAAGTAAAGTATTAACAGGGAAAAGTGTTTGTGATACGCTTAAGAATTAGGAATTAAACACATCAAGGTCCACAGCTAAATAATCAACAGATTCCAAAAGACCTCATTTATTTATTTGGAATAAGTATAACATACATCAGGCAATATCCCTGACCTCACTGTGATGGTAGATAAAAACAAAACATAAAGCAATTTTACTTGAGATAGTAATAAGTTCTCTGGCAGGAGCGGGGGTGGGTGGGGAACACAACAAAAAAACAGAAAAACTAAATGTAGGGATAGAATAGAGAATAACTGCAGGGATGAAATATAAGGCCTCTGCTTTGAATAGTAAGGCCTAGGAACAACTCATCCTCACAGATGTTAGTCCAAAGGAGAAGACGATTACATTCAAGAGCTATAGCAAAATGCTGTCATGTTCTGTTTCTCTCAGGAATACCAATTACTCAAAAAGCTCCACTTTTCCACACACAAGAATAGGAAGAGTATAGTCAAAAAAGCATGGAATTATGTATTAGCAATAGTGATAAATGAACAAATCAATGCCCAGGCAGCTGAAAGGTGTGAACTGCTAAAGCTTTAAGCCAGGAAAATATGAACTTGTGTTCTGAATTTTAAAAAAATTAAAGAAAAAAAAGGTAAAGGTGATTTCTCAACAGACACTATATACTTGCACACAATTTAAGTGTTTTTATTTCCACTTGGAGAAAAACCCATTAATGAGATAAAAATATCATTATTTACTTATCAAACATTTTAAATTTATCCCCACAAAAAACTTGTGAGATAAGCAGAAATTCAAACTCATACTGTTTCTAAAATGAAGAACAAAAACAAACAAAAAGGAAAGCAAATGGCCAAGGGTCACATAATAAATATAAGTATTAAAATGAAAACTCTAACTGCCACCTTCTAGGCTTCTGCCTTCTCATCTATAAGATAAGGCATTCAGAAATAAAATGTGCACATACACATTTATATATACCCTTGTTCCAAGACTATCACGTTACTTTTATTTTTAACTTTGGGTCTTTCCTAAATTCTTCTGTCTTCCAAAAATAATATAGGGTTTTTACTCTGCAGTTTTTCTGCATGACTTAAACATTTTTTATATATTTGGAACCTAGGAAATTTAATAGGTTAATCTGATAAATTGTAATCTAGCAAGAAAATGTACACTTATTGAAAAGAACAGAAATTCTTTATCTGACTAGTTTTCCTTTCCCTAACATTATTGCCTTTTGACTCTTTCATTCACAATATTATTTTATAAGACAGTAAGCCCATTACATATATATGGATCTAATGAAAACACAAAATAATGTATGGCTTCTTCTAACATGAAACATCTACTAAGCCCTTGCATTTTCACAATTACACCAAACAGCAACACACAACTTCCCAAATCACTAAAAGTACTAAACAAAATCAAAACAAGTTGCAACATACTCACTTTTATCTATGCTCCCATATGAATCACTTGAAATTTGTGTTCCAATATGTCTCAACTCTAAAAATGTGGAGAAACAATAGTTTAAAAAAAAACACTGCACATCAAAACAGAATTTTTAAATAAGAAATAACTGAATACTCACCCTTTTCATTTTTCTGCTTAGAAAATTCATCAAGCCTTTCCTGTGAAAATAAAACACTGATAGTATTTAAGCTGGGTAAGACCGGCAGCCACTCTGGGCCAAATGTGAAAGAGGTGAAACCTGACAGGCAACTGTAGCTGTTTCCGCCAGGTGGCCTCACGCCTGACTCCTACACTAGTTACAACACAGAGACACCATAGGAGCCCTGAAGCCAGGAATTTAAAGTGGGTGTGCATTGTTTTTATCTAGTACCTGTGTCTTCTTAAATTCCTTTTCAAGTATTTTCTTTTCATTTCTCAGTTGCTTGAAGTCTTGAGTTTGCTTGACGGCAGCCTCTTTATTTAAAAAGTGCAATGAAGAAATGGAGAGAGAAAAATAATTTACTAACTTTACTACTATGGTTAATGAAATATTCAAAATCTATTACAAGCTTTTCTCATTTCTTAAAACTTTCAAACAAATTTTGTAAAGAGTTTCTGCTCCTTCAGTATTTTATCAGTCAGGGTTGAATGTGGAAGCACATTTTTTTAAAAAAACTATCATTTATAAAACCAAAGAATTGGCATAGGCCTTAAGAATCCTTTCCAAACCAGGCACAGCAATCCCAAACCCTTCTAGTTAGGCAAGAATCCAATACATAAAAGGAAAATACCATGGTCTCCCTTGCTCTTCCCATCTCAATAATAGGCAACTCTTAAAGCCTTAAGAGATTTCAGAACCGCAATTTTATTTCAGAATATAATTAAGACCATTCTCCTTATTTGGTGGTGGGGGTGGAGAGACACCCTTCTTAATGCTCAACTATTACCCTTTCCTGGAACTCAGTTCAACAAGTTAACTAATCCTAATTTCTAATACCTTTATTAGAGATCTACTTTTTAGGTATTTTCATAGTTCTCTGGACCTTCATTCTGGCTTTTGGTTCTGAAGCACCAAATGATCCAGACACACTATTAAGAATCTGACCAGTATAGACACTTTATATGAATATGCTCAAACAGAGCTGCTAAGAAAAGTTAAATTCCATAAAACACCACAGTTAACAATCCTCTCTTGACTCCTCTACAAAGCCTGAGTATTTCTTTACTCAGTAATCTTTATCATGCCATATCACTTACTAGGGAAAACTATTTCTGTTACATGAAAAATAAAGGCTATGCTTTTGCTTTACATAAAGTCTGTCCTAAAAGCTGCATATATAGTCTCATGGGCATTTCAGGTCACTTTAAAAACATTTCCTGAAACAGACGCTTACCTCCACAAACTAGCACAAGAAGGCAATATTTAGAACATAGTAATGTTGTACTTACTGCCATATGGTCAATGTTTGTGTAACAATCAAATCAGAGGAAAAACTGTTACCAAAATATTTATAGAGTTTATGTCTAAAAAATGTGGCTCAAACTTTTTAAATAGTAACTGTAAATAACTGCAGCAACTATTATTCTATATGTCTTGATGCCACTAAATTTAAATTCTTTAAATCCTAAATGAGAATAAGCCATCTCTGAAGCAGATCACTCTCAGTACGATGGGGGGATCGGAAACACACAGGAGATATGGAGACCACGTGCAGGGATGGGTCTGGCAGAGCCTGTTCACCTCCCCTGTAGTGCGTCCAGGTCCCAATCACAGAGTGAAGGGAGGAAAAAGCAAATGAAAAGGTCTTGCGTTTGATTCCTACCAATTCGTGAGAGGGAGATTAGGTGAGATGTGAGCACTTCATAGAGTCTTATAGGGCACCTTTGAACTCTGCCTACTCTGTAGACTAAGAAGCCTCGAACGAGAGGGTGGTGTGTGAGGGAGGATCAGATACAAATTGAACAATCCCAATGTAGGGAATTTCATAGAAATCTCTCTATGGGTGTGTCATATCTATCTAACTACATCAGTTTCTTGATACTAAAAGTAGTGACCTTTTCTATTAACCACTTATTTCATAGGGAAAAACATGAGAAAGCACCATGAAATTTAACTTTCAAAATTAACTCCTTCCATTAATTGCTGCTTTTTATGCAAAAGTGTGGACTGCTGTTATTTTAAGTGCAATGCTATTTCAGGGGCTTGCCGCATTCCATCTCCATGTTCTGTCTGGTAGCGGAGAGGAGTGTAATAATATTCACATTTCTTCCTAACAGACCACTACATGCAGTCATCCAGGGAGGTATCATCAAAAACCACAACTCAACTATCTGATCAAGTACTACAACCTCATACAGTTTCCAACAATTTCTGTAATGATCAATGACTACCATTAATCAGGTAACAACAATGGCAATTACCTTCCAGCTTCTTCACCTTAGCTTCTAGTTTCTTCTTCCTAATAATAAAATTTTACAAGTTAAATGGCAAAAAAGAGTGTAACAGAAAAAAATGATACCACAATCTGTGGTACATATTTTTTTTTAATTACTTAGATTTGTATAGCAAAGAAATTACCAGTCATAACTAGTATCACATGAAAACAACTGAAATTACCAGCAATTATTCTGATGGCAGAATAAACATAAGAAAGAATAGTATATTATTTAGTATGTAATATTTCTCAAATGGATTAAAGAAATCTGTTCCTTCCATTTGAAACATACCCTGTGGATCTATCCAGGCTCCACCACAAGCACATCCGGGACCTTCCTTGAACCAAACCTATGAGCTAAGCCAATGTGTCCACATGGTCTCCAAGAGGCAGCCCAGAGTCTCATTAGTCAAGATTACTTTTCAGGAGCATGCAGGGTGTTAGCACTTACAATGCCACTGTACGGGAGGCAGTGGCTGAAGAACCACACTCATCTTGTAACAGATTTCTGAGAGTCCGAGAAGGTAAATAATTCTCTGAGAAAGAGTCTCTAAGTCACTGCTACATCACACCTACACTAAACTACTACATGTACAGCTCACACATTTGTTTTGTGAATAATGCAAATATATCAAACCTCAAAATAATGAACAGGATGCTTTTGAATAGCCTTTTTATTAATAATAATAAGGACAACAATTCCATATAATATCTGCTAAAGTACTGGTACAAATAAATGAGTCAAAATAAGTATGTTTTTATACACACAGACACACCTGCATGCATTGCATATATATGGACATAAAACCTTTTATGGTGTTCTTTCTTTGTGTAGCCCTTTAATATATGATGACTTATTTAATCCGCCCTATAATCCTTCAAAGGAGGTGTTAATTCCCATTTTACAGATTTGGAAACAAAGGTTGAGAGACTGACCAGTTCAATATCACATAGCTAATTATGGTCAACAAACCCAAAGACAAAGAAAAAGAGAAACACTTTTGATTTATGGATTATCTATTTCCAAAGATGAAAATGCTATTTCTACAGTAATTTTAAAACCACTTACTGAGCGTCACTTTTCAAGCATTCTTCTTTTACACGGGCATATTCCTGATGAGTATCCTGATACAACTTTAGAGAACTCTGAAAAAGAAACAGATAAACATTGTCAAATTGAAAGTCATGAACCATCAGTCATAACTTGTTTGACCTTGATAAGTTAAATTACCACCCTTTAGTAGTATGAGATTACCCAAATGAATAGATTTATTAGGCAGAAAGCCAAAATACAATTCACTAAACATTTTAAGCATGTAACCAGATTCTTAATAGATGTACTATGATTAAAGAGTATAGCCAAACAAAAACTATAAAACTTAAAATAATATACTAATTTTGAGGCAATTCCAAATCTTCATAATAATTGGTTTAAATATCAAATAGCTAATATTTTGGAAATTTGAGAGCTTAATAAATATTAGCTATTGTTACTACTATGAAAAAATATTTTAAAAATCGTTATAATTAATGATAACCTGGAAAAATGTATCATAACTGATATATACACCCTGATGGTCCCTATAAAATGGGAAAGAGTTATTGAGGGTTATATCATAGTATAAAGATTGTGTATCCCAAATCTGCAATGCTCCAAAATCCAAAACTTTTTGAGTGCTTAAATAACACTCAGAGGGGGCCGGCCCGGTGGCGCACTGCGCTAGTGTGCCGCTTGGGAAGCGCGGAGGCGCTCCCACCGAGGGTTCGGATCCCACATACAGACCGGTTCCCGCTCACTGGCTGAGCGAGGAGCGGGGGCAACACCGAGGGTTGCGATCCCGTTGCCGGTCCCGGTCCGGTACGGGGGCGACACTGAGGGTTGCGATCCGTTGCCAGACACGGAAAAAGACAAAAAAATAAAATAAAAAAATAACACTCAGAGGAAACGCTAACTGAAGCATTTCAGATTTCAGATTTGGGATACTCAACCAGTAAGTATAATGCAAATATCCCAAAATCCAAAAAAAATTGGAAATCCAAAATTCTTCTGGTTCTAAGCATTTTGAATAAGGGATACTAGATCTATAATATGTATCTGATATCTCTTTAATCTCAACACCTCTGAGAGATGGGCTTTATTATCCTTTTTTTGTTTGTTTTTTTTAAACAAATGAGGAGTCTGAGGGTTTGACAGAATGAGTTAATCTTCCAAAGTTACAGTGACTAATTAGGGTTTAACATTAAAGTCTGACTCCAATGTTCATGTTTCTTCTCAGATATGGCTGAAGAGATAACATAACCGGAGGTAGACATAATTGAACATTGTTATTGCTTCTGTTTAACTTTCACTGCATAAACATAACAAAGGATTTCCTAGAAATAGGAAAATAAATACGTACTGTTAAAGTATATAAGGCCTCAGATAACTACATGCCATAACAACAATTACACAATTTGAGGAAGACCAAGAGGCACAAATACTATCATTCAAAGAGACTAGAGAACAGGTCGAGAAGCGAGAAGCATTCCAGGGTGGCTACAACTTGTCTCGTGCAAACCACCTAACAACTTTATGGACTTCAGATGTTTTTATCTGTAAAAGTCATGAATTCTCTTCTAAGATTCCTGTAAAGAATAAACCAAAATTTATATAGAAAAGCAACTTTACAACATTTTTAACAAATGTTTTACTTCAACTTGATGTTGAAAAGACAGACAGACTCCTCTGAAGGACAAATTTATCACATTTTCATATCTGAAATGGGTGTCTTCTCCCAATGTTCCACCTCAGCCCAGAAGTATCACCCAAAAAGATCAGACACATCACCCCCCCCCCCCCCCCCCCCCCCCCCCCACCCCCCCAAAGCAAAAACAC